CGGCTAAACACTCAGAAGGTTCTTTTAGTAAGTTTACACTTTTGTCTTTTTAAAAAGAACCGTCTCTAAGCCATAAGCATAAGGAACTTTTTACATGTACTAAATTAACGCACAGGGTTAAAGTTTTTAAGTCTATAGACAACAAACTCTATTCATCATTGCAGATTATCTGGCACAGCTAATATTAGCTCTCCTCTTTCTTCTAAAATACACAAATGGCTGTAGCATTTTGGCATTTCGTTTAACTGAGATGGGCGTATATTGCTTTAGCTTATCACTCCCCTCCTGCTGTGGGATTTGTTACTGAGCCGTCCTGCAGCAGCAGAAAGCAGACAAGCCGTTTAGTGATGCTCCGCTGTGGGACAAGCAACACAAAAGGGAAACACAAGAGCCAGTGCAATAAGCATAAATACCACGACATCACACACAGCAGATGTCAGCGTTTCCCAAACGGGGGCACACATACTCCTAGGGGTACAAAAGGGTATTACATGGCATATTTGTACAATTTTTTTGTGTGGACTTGTGGACAGGAAAATACATCATATTTTACAATTTAATTTGTAGTCCTGTCACTCTATCTAAAGAGCAATTGATTCAGTCCAAGCAAGTACTCAAAATGTTATGTTCATAAAAATCTTGTATCAAACTCAAGTTTAATACAAGCTTGAGTTTTATATTGTGTTTGATAAAAATATCTACACATTATAAAAACATATAATTGATAATGTTGATAAAATAAAATAACCAGAAATGAATAATCTTTGTGCTTTGATTGAAAAGTGCTTTGATTTTATGAAGCACTTTTTGGACACTGCCCTGGTGCAGACTGACAGAAACAAGGAAACCAAAATACTCAACAAGGCGAGGTTTGCCCTGTTGGAACTTATTTTCCAACAATGACCTGCGTTCTATACATTATCCCTTACATATTGTTTTCCCTCTGCATTAATAACAACAATTCTCAATTGGGCTTAAATCTAGAGAGTTTATGGCCAAATAGACCAAATTAGGAGGTCAATAGCTTTTTGTGCTCGCCATGCAGTGAAGTTTTATGTAGAGAGAGGTACGTGAAGGAGCGTCGTCATGGATGAAAAGCCTCTTGTTCTTGAAAGCTGCAGGTTTTTACTTGTACCTGATTGACCAAGGTGCTCTCAGGGAATAATTCTCAGAGTGGATTTTCACTCTGAAGTGGCCAACAGCCTCACTGTTAATGATTGACTCACACTATGATTCCTCCACCACCTTGTTGCCTTCTGTACACGTCTGGTTTGTTGCGTATCCAACCTCAAGGCAAGGCAAAGCTAGTTTATTTGTATAGCACAATTCATAGGCAACTCAAAGTGCTGAACAAAATAAGAAAGCATTAAAATCATAAATAATCACAGAACATTAAAAAGAAAGATAAAAATCCCTCAGTTGTATGCACAGCTAAACAGAACTGTTTTTAACCTGGTTTTAAACATTGTCAGAGAGGAGGCCTGTCTCACATCTTCAGGAAGATTGTTCCAGATTTTAGCAGCATGAATCTGAAAAGCAGCCTCCCCATGTTTAGTTCTGACTCTGGGCACTAACAGGAGTCCAGTCCCTGTGCTCCTCAGAGTCCGGGCTGGTTCATATGGGACTAACATGTCACTAATATATTTTGGTGCGAGGCCATGGAGAGACTTGTACACAAGCAGAGCAGACTGAACAGCCCATCTTTAGTGTTCAGTCTTTGATACCTTTCCGTTCTACACAGTAATGGTGGAAATTTGTAGTTTGCAATCAAACTGTTTCATTGCGTTAAAGTTACATCTGTGAAGGATGTAGTTTTCTCCTGTTAGTTCCCAGAGTCAGAACTAAACATGGGGAGGCAGCATTTCAGATTCATGCAGCTAAAATCTGGAACAGTCTTCCTGAAAATGTTCAAATCCAGTTCAAAAACAGTTCTGTTTAGCTGTGCATACAACTGAGGGATTTTATCTTTACTATTTTAATGTATTCTGATTACTTATGATTTTAATACCTTGTGTGATTGTTTCTTGTTATCTTGTCATTGTTATCTTATTCTGTTCCGCACTTTGAGTTGCCTTATGTATGAATTGTGCTATACAAAGAAACTTGCCTTGCCTTACCCCACAGCTTAGAGCAACAATGAGTTTTCTTTATACAGTGCAGAATTATTCACCAACAGGCAGTACTTGTGTGTCGGGACAATATCTTGCACGTCAAAAGAAACATGGTGCAAAACAAAACGGACTTTTCAGCTGGAAGAAAGAGGGACTTCTCCACCCTTTTGAGTTATCCATTTTCATAACATAAACACACACAAACTCACAGTTCCAGGACAACACAACAACAAATGAACAAACTACAACTCAACTCATAAAATGTAGAAATACTTTGCTGTCAAATTGTACGGTTTTCTTTGTGCACTGTTATATAAGAAGGATTGTGATAATAAACTTCTGAAGTCAAACTATACAGTTATCGGAATACAAAGGGAGAGTAAACTGAACAAAAAGACTTTAACGTTATGTTGTGTTTTTGTGTTTATGTCCCTCTCAGAGAATGAACAGATAACAGAGAATGTGCCTTAAAGAAAATGGATTTAGATCTATACAAGATGAGCAGCAACATGAAATGCACAGCAGTCTTAAAGTGCAAGAGGAGTACAGATGGCCCGCTTATTGAGGAGTCGGGGCCGAGTCTGCCGTGTCTGCACTGCTTCAAGCAGTGTTATACAATCCTCGAAAAGGGCAGATTTACAAGGCTCCAGTTGCTGCAAGAAATAGATTTGTTCATGAGAGAATTAATCTGTCTGAAATGTGTTATTGTACCATTAAAGACGCTGAAGAAAGATTATGTTTTTTTTCTTGGGTGGTCTTGAAATATGTGGAAAAAATAAAACAGAACAGATACCGCAATAGTTCAGACTTTTGTTGGGTGTTGAAGAGTAAAACTTCGATCTAAACCTGTGTGTGTGTGTGTGTGTGTGTGTGTGTGTTGTTGTTATTGTTAGATTATTTTGCCAATTAGAAAGACACAAAATGGCTTCTCATTGCCTCAACTGGGACAAACTGTAAGACTGAAGTTTTTGATTCCACAATTGTGACCTCTTTTTCTCGAATGTCTCCAGTGTCTTTTGATTTACTGAGGCTTTCCCGTTTCCTCCTAATGAGAGGCACGTTATCCGGAAACATAAAAATGTCCAACAAAAGGTTGACAGTTGTCGGCAACAAGCCAGAGCAGTCTGTTGTACGTCTACCATCCACTTCTGTTATGCTAACGACTTCTGCAAACTTAAGCTTGAGCATTCCGGCTTTCTTTTCTGGAAATGCACAAAAGCCCTTAAGTCGTAGCGATCATTATTCTGAGCTATTTCTCTTAATCTCTCCGACTCGAGGACAGCTCTCATTAAACATTCAGCACAAACCAGCCCTGTACTCCCGGCCTCTGATAGCATCACTAACATATTCACTATAGGACCTAATATTTAGTCCAAGTAAAACTGTCCGTGCTAGGTCAGGGGGTTCATTATATTACTTATGTTTAAATATTAGGAGGGAATTCAAATTTATTGCAGCTTTTATTCATCACATAATCAGAGGGCACTAGTGTCTGGTGGAATCAAGGAAAATTAGTAAAGTATTTATGGTTATTTTGAACAAACCTCTCAAGACATCAACGAAGGAGTTGAAGCCTGGTCGTTGATGGGTGTTCCAAAAGAACCATGATCCAAAACACACTTCCAGACTTACAGCTCGACATCGAGGTTCAGGTGTAGGAGGGGTCATCACAGCCCTGACCTCAGTGCAAAGCTGAAAAGGGTAGCCCACAAACCTGTAGTTGGCCAAACTTCTACCAATTTAATGTTAAAAACCCACTGTATTTGACCCAAGTTAAACATTTTTAAGTGAAGTCTACAAAATATAAAACCTTACCATGGGGATTTCTGACCCTCTAAAGATATGACAGTTTAAAACTAAGAATATTTTGACATTTACCCAAAGCTGTGTTACTTCTTGAACCAACAGAACATTTCCACCTATAGCTGTTTAATGTGACTGTTTAATGTTGACCTAAAAACTGTGTCTATGGTGTATAGCAGTAGAGCCTTGCCTAAAGATCTTTGAGATGAGATCTATATAAGATCATGTTAGGGCTGAGCGATATGGGGGAAAAACTCATTAACCAATCTCCATTTCTGATTGGATTAACAAAATAACAGGTAAAACAAAACAGTGAAAGACAACAACACATGTGTGAGATAAGGAGTGAAACTGAAATTCAGTCCGACGATTTTAATTCAGATATTGATCATCGCAATCCACAAATGTGCTATGAATTATTCCCATTTTTAGCCCAGCTCTAACGCACATCCATCTTGTCATTTTTTCAATCTGCTCTTTTGACAGATGGAAGAAATAGACTGACATTGTCTTTTTCAACTAAAAGTAACTAAAAGTGGAAAAACGTGTGAACTGTCTGAATGGTAAAGTGTCTCCTTCTCTGCATCAAGTTTATCTAAGACAAGGAGTGCCTTGATACCACGTTGTTCTGATGAATGCCTGAATGCCTGCAATCACATTGTTATGACCCTTCATTCTCTTCTAGAGATGGCCCATCATCACTTCAACATTATTTCTCTCCCAGAAGAGACTGTTCCACTCTTAAGTATTTTGACTGCCTTTAATGCCAGTTTGCCGCTTCACCGGAGGTCATCCACTAAAGTGTTGGACATGTCACTTTTTCATCTGGCATTGTTTTGATGCATCCAGGGGGTTAACATTAAGTAATTTGTAAATAAACTGTGGACAATTTTTTTTATTGACAACAGTCTATCATTAAACATGGCTATTTCAAAGAATTTTCTCGTGGCCGTGGTCCACTAACCAATTCATTATAAGAATTAATATTCACTTGTCTTATAATGCAAAATACGCTAATGCAACTCTTTCCACGTGTTAGCCCTCCATTGTTGCACAAACATGTCCAGGAGTTGTGTTTGGACATACCTGCTGCCAGCTGCATCCAGCCGCAGATCTTATACACGGTGCCTGTACTGCAGAAGAAGAAGAGCGCGAAGCAGCCGATGCAGGTGAGCACCAGCGCCATGGACATCCCGATGAAGAAGGACGCGGCTTTGAACGCTCCGGACGGGATGGAGCTGAACTCAGTGAAACTCCCCTGACAGGTCAAGTCCCGGGACAACCCATTGCCAATGCAGTAGTGAAAGAGGCCAAAGTAACCCGCCTGAGGGGTGTCCACGCCATCCCCGATCCAGTACGGCTGAATGAAGCATACCACATTGACAATTGCAAACAGGATCGTGAAGATGGCCCATAACACACCGATGGCACGTGAATTACGCACGTAGTTGGTCTGGTAGATTTTGGCCGCTTCAGACGCAGGGAGCATGCCGGTACTGGAAGCCCCGGGTATCATCCTCTGATGCAAAAGAGCGCTCAAGTCAATTTGTAGCTTTCTGTCAAACTAAGGCATGAGCCGTGAACGCATCATTCCTATAACATTTGGTTTTACTAAAACCTCTGTCCGCTTTGACAGTTGCAGTTTTATCACCAAGTTACATCTGGGACTTGGTGGAAATCTTACTGTTCACTGCTGTTTACTCATCACTTGCGCTGAATTTTATGTCACACGAGGAACGAGCGTTAATCCAATGCGTAATCCCGAACAAACGCGGCGATTTCAACCCGTGCATTGACTCAGTCTTCGCCTTCAAACTGCATAGCCTTACTAAACGAGGAGCAGTCAGCCGTGTTCTCGCTGTTTGCAGACGTTGAGACGCAGAGCTGAGAATCACTTCAGCATCAGGATGAAATCATACGGTCTATGCATGAAATAGAACCAACCCACCGTTTTTAATCCCGCGTTGACGTCGGTTTTGTCTCGTTTTTTTGTGTGGGTTCTAAAAAAAATGGCAGAAAACACAAACATGCTTTTTGAAAAGAAAAACTTGAGCGTTGTCTATTTGTTTTTGTATTGTATTTATTAATCTTATTTTGGGTGAGTTAAAATTGTATAAAGAAAAAAACTACACTACCCACAAGCCTTCATCTTAACTGTGATTGGTCCAAACTCCCGGAAGAGGATGTGTGACAGACACGGCGCGAAAATAACAGAGTGGAATGTCTTCTCCTTTATGCTGAATTAATAATAATAATAATAAGTTCAAAACCTGGGATGACAGGAGCACTGCAGTATCCGGGGTACGATGGGGATAGGCTGGAGAAGGCAGCAGGACTGATGCCGTGCAGAGAGATCCAGGCTGGGCTACTGTTGTCTCTCATGGGGCAGGTAAAGGCATCCATTCAGTTGTCAATCTATATTAAAACACCAAATACATGTAATACTAATGACTGGATTAATGTGCTTTACGTGGGTGTACTATTGCTATTCCTGGAACACCTTACACAACTATAGTATGGCTTTGTAGTTCTTTGTCCTGAAGAAGATGACAAAGTCTGGGATCGTGTCTTTAATTCAGACAGAAGACATGTTTTATTGTCGATGGTAGAGACAGCACGAACAACAGATACAACAGAATGCAAGTGTATTATACAGAGCGGAGGCATGGAGTCCTCCAATCAGCAGCTGCCACAGTGTGCTTGTAGCTTGGCCTTCAGATAGACAAAACAAGGGAAAAGTACTGGCTTCTGCACATTGATAGAATGATGAGTTTAACTTTAACAAAAGTTGCTTCAAAGTGTTATGAAATCTCACATTCCCCCCTCTGGTCATACATTCACGTGTGACCATCAGGATCGATAAACAGCAACATAACATCATAACTCAATACTTCAAAAACTCATAAACTCGGTACCTCAAAAAACTCAGAACTCGGAATACTTCAAAAACTCATAAAACATGTTCAGATCTTTCATAAAACTTGTCAACAATCTTCAGTAAAATACCAAACTTCATCAGTCGATGGTTCTCAGATATTGCTTTGAAAACAGTCTCTCCCACTTCTCCGTGTTGATTCTTCAGGCTGCATATGTCAAGCCATGAATTCTTCTGTGACGTGTCTTTGAATCACACGTTTCAGCTTTAGTGTCCAGATTCAGCAATCCAATTCAGTCCAAATTATGTCCAAATTCAGAAATCCAATTGTTCCAAATCATGTCCAAATTGTGTAATCCAATTTTTCCAAATGATGTCCATGCAAAAGAGGACGCTGGTGTTGTCCATGTCTCAGCAGCTCACTGCCTGAGTGGAATCAGGGGCTGTGCAGATTGTCCATGTGTGCTGGTCCAGATGCATTCTCTTGAGGTTTCTCAGTTTTGGCTTAAAAAAAAAAACACTTTTTGTGTAAAAAAAAAAAGTCTTCTGTTCTCTAGATGTTACAGACAAGGCCCGCATCCTTCCACCACCTGAAGAAGATGGCATAGTCTGGGATCGTGTCTTTAATTCAGACAGAAGACATGTTTTATTGTCGATGGTAGAGACAGCACGAGCACGAACACACGATCACAGATACAAGAGAATGCAAGTGTATTATACAGAGCGGAGGCATGGAGTCCTCCAATCAGCAGCTGCCACGGTGTGCTTGTAGCTTGGCCTTCAGATAGACAAAACAAGGGAAAAGTACTGGCTTCTGCACATTGATAGAATGATGAGTTTAACTTTAACAAAAGTTGCTTCAAAGTGTTATGAAATCTCACAGTCCTCAACTAGGGATGAAATGACCATTGAATAGATTCATGGATGAGACACGTCCAAGATTTGTTAACATTTTTTTTTTTTTTTTTTTGGGGACTACAGATGTTCTAATTGCACAACGCTTAACCAATTGTGATCTAAGCCCTTTTTAAACATACTGGATAAGAATCTCGCAAGACCATTGTTTGTATTTAATTCTGGGTTATCTAACTTTCAAAGATGGAAACAAAAGAAAACATTAAACTTTGGTATACCATCCATATAACTAGTATCTGGCTTTCTTAACAGTTTAGTTCACTCACTAGTTTTCACACTTATGTACTTCTGACCACGTCACATTATTAGTGAAAATGACACCCATCAGCTCCTGGCGTCAAATGGTACAGGCATGTCCAAACTAAGGTCCAAGGGCCAATTGCGGCCCGCCGTGTTTTTCTTTGTGACCCCATGCCTTGCTACCCCAAAAGGCATGTTATACTTCATTATAAAGCTCAGAATCTTTTGAATCGTTTATTTGTATGCAGTGACATATGTTTTTCATTATGGCCTAAAAATGTGTTTATGGCACTGATATTGCAATTAAGAAAGCTATTCAATTAGCTAACCTCAGCTCTCACAGATGTGTATGTATGTATAATGCCCTTGTTATAACTCGTTTAGCATCTCAAAGTAGAACAATTCTAGTCAAAATTGTTTGACAATCCATGTTGTCGGCCCCTGGACAAGTCTGGCGAAATGAAGTGGCCCTCTTTGGTAAAAGACACTCCTGTACTTAGGAGTCTTCTTCACAAGTGTGCAAAAGATCCAATTTTATTATGAGGTAGAGATAGCATGTTGTGGTCTGATTTGTTCACAACATTTTGTTTTTTACAAGACTCTTTCTATTGGATCAAACTTCTTGGATGCCCAAGCTCTGATCTTTTAATAATAGAATCTTGTGACTATCAGTAGAAAGAAAGTAACAAGGAGATCATCTTTTCATGTGTTGCAAGATAGAGAAAACAATAAATACACCACCATCACCATACTCATTCAAGGGGTGACTCCCACAAGAATACATTTAATTTGAAGTTATAATCAACTTTACTTTATTGTTTATTTTGTTACAGCCTGAGAATCACTGTTACCCCTCAATTTTCATCTATGGTCATCGAGCCTCTGGGAAAAGCCATGTTCTGAATACTTTAATGAAACAACTGGAGGTAAGCAGTAGGGGTGTGACGATATATCGATTTTTTTTTTTTATATATCGCGATACTTTCTCCCGCGATTCGATTATCGATTTTTTTTTGCCAAGTATCAATATCAATTTTGAAAAATTGGTATCAATACTTAATATATGGCTACATTACGCATCTCCATTTCATTTATCATGAAATAAAGTGTATTTTTTCTTTTATTTATGCCATAAATTGGCATATTGTATATTTCTGACCAATATATCGATAATCGTTATCGTGATATCGTTATCAGGATAATATTGTTATTGTGAGTTTTGTATCGTGTATTGTATCGTATCGTATCGTGAGGTACCCTTAGGTTCCCACCCCTAGTAAGCAGCTACTACTTAGTGTTGTATTCACATCAATTAATCCTATAGTTATACCCTTTAATGATCTGAGAAATGAGAAAGGCAGTCACTAACTTCATATCCTGGGTCATTTGTAAACGTTCTCTAAAATATCCATACCAGTTGATATTCACCTGTTCCGCTGTTGGCGTGTGAACGAGGAGGTGTGAAGTTTGGTCGTTTATACAATATTACAAATACAGAGCTCATTCTGACTCACTCTTCTGTGCCATCTCTCTCCCATCTGTTAGTGTTGTGAGTCTCACTTATGTTGTGAACTTGTGATTTAACTAATATCTTGCAAGTCCTCGACCAAAGATGAAGAAAGAAGCAGACAAAATACTCCAGCAACTAAAACATTAAAAGCCTTAATTTGAAATCCACCATTTACATACAAATGCTAAGCTATTTTGCACATGTAAATACTCAATAGTTTCCCGTACCAAATGATGCAACATCTCTCAGTATAATTACAGAAACTTTGATAAGTGAGACTCGTTAAAGGAGCAATATGTAAAAATCTGGCCAAAGCTGGTACTTGCACTCTCTTTGACTCAGATTGCCAGATGTGCAGACGAATCCAGCTGGGACCATAATAACTAGGGTGACAAGAGTTTTGTCAACAACAAATCTATAACCAACACCTTTTTTGTTTAGTCATTAAAGATTTGAGACTGTACTGCAGACACATGTTATTTTACCAGTGAGATTAGCTCAATGTGGTGAGTTCTGGCAACCCGGATCACGGACTTAGATTTAGAAGATTTAGGAACTGTAAAACTAATTTTGAAATTCAAATATCTCGGCTGAACTGTTATCATTTAAAGAAGTATTCAAAAAGAGCATGGTTTATTAATGCTTTTTGACATATTGGGGCCATTTAATGACTTGACATGAATATCTTTCATACTGCTACTTTAATCATTTACTCCCTTAATCAGTTATTATCCAAAATGTCTCTCTTTCTAACAGTGATATGGAGCTTTCTTTCTCCCCTCAGTGTGTTGGGAATTGTTACATTTGACAATGACTTTGAGCTGATGTCAGTGGCCCCAAGTAGATTGCCATATTGTTAATTATTCTTTCAGTCTTTGAGATGCCTGTACCTTGGACAACAAAGCACACTGTCAAATTCTAGCTGACATGCGTCATTACAAATTGTGTTGTATTGTTGTTAAGAAATATGTTTTGGTCGTGGGGGAAAATCATCTTTATTTGTACACTATTAGTAGCTCCCCCATGTTCATTTTGGTAGAAGAGACACCGGATTCTTTATAATACTTGATCTTGGCTTTTTACAGCTTCCCCACGCCATGATCAGTTGTGTCGAATGTCTCTCGGTGGCTTTGCTTTTTGAACAAGTCCTTGATTCATTCTTTGGGGCTGATGCCGCCTCACTTCTACCCCGTGGTCCATCTCTGTCTGACTTTGTCCGCATCTACAAACAGCAGATCTCCGAGTCGCCCACTGAGCAGACCAGATACATTGTGAGTGATATTCCTGCTATGAACAAGACCTTTTTTCTAGTTAAATAACAGATAATTACTTGCCACAGGCTGAGCATGAAAACTATGTTTTGTTTTGTAGATAATGGAAAAGGCTGAGATGTTGAGGAATGCAGACTCCAATCTCCTTCCGGGTCTTCTCCGTCTTCAAGAACTGGTGAGGGATGACCCTGGGTTTATGTGTGGATCATGTGTGTTTTTTTCTTCCCAACACTGAAATTTCCCCGCTGTGGGACGAAGGAAGGAACTCTTAATCTAATACAAAGTAATATTTCAAGCCAGATGCGCACTGACCTTAGGATGTTTGATATGAGCTCTGTTACTTTGAAAGCTTAAAGCTGCATGCGTGACATGTACATTTCTCCATTGTGAGATCGATAAAGGTTATCTTTTCTTATATTAGGAAACATGGTGTGAAAAAGGTTCGGGCTCTTCATGGAAGATTCCTAAAGTTTTAAATCAAGAGCAGCCTATGACTCTCCCGCTTTTTTTTATCTATAGTCCTGCTATTCTAATATGGATTTGTTTATATATTTTAAACATTTCATTTGGGGACAAAATGTTCCAATTCAAACTCATGCTCACTAGTGAGAAACTGGAGGAATGGTGGTATTATTAGTTTAATTCTCATAGAAAAATTGCATTAATTGCCTTATTGTTTTGTATATGGCTTTATTATATCGTATCATGACCTCACAACAAAGAAATGTACACTACTTAGTAACCCTATTTAAAATAATTTATATAATGACAAAATATTGTAGTCCTTAACAAAATGAACTCTCTGTGTACTTTATTTACCTTTGTTTGATGGCAGCTGCTCTTGTCCTCAGGTTGAAGACAATGTTACGGTGATTCTTCTTAGTGAAATTGTGTGGGATAAGTTCAGACCGAACACTGGCTGTTTTGAGCCACTCCTGCTGCATTTCCCAGACTACAGTAAAGGTATCCGTGGCAGATGTGAAATAGTGGTGTGATAAATGTACCTGTGGTGATGTTCTTGCGCTTCTAATTTCAGTGTTGTAACATAATGATTAAGAATAGTAAGTTTCCTTCTCACCAGAGCTCTGCTTGTGCTTCTCCAGCGGAGCTGCAGCAGATATTGTCCAAGGACAAGCACCCTTCTTATTCCACAGACTTTTACTCCTCGTACATAAACATCTTGTTGGGCGTTTTCTACTCTGTCTGTCGAGACCTCCGAGAGCTGCGACACCTCGTCAGTTTGTCTCACTATAAACAATATTTCATACTGTTTCACTTGAAATAAATGTCATTATCTTTTTAACAGGCTGCCCTTAATTTTTCCAAGTTTTGTGAACCAGTGGAAGAAGGCAAATGTACGTATTTACTCAGGATTTCAAACACAAATTGGATACTAATTAATACACTCATTACCCATGACCAATTTCGCTCATAATTACATGAAAACAAAAAGACTCACAAACCCTTGGCTCACTCTGGCGTTTATACAGAACATTCTGTTTCTCAATATCCACTGTTTGTGTAGTAAATAAATAAATACTTTATATATTTTGCAGTTAAAGAAAATGACACACACAAATTGTGGAGGAACATTGAGCCTCATCTGAAAAAAGCCATGCAAACTGTTTATCTTCGAGAGGTGTCCAGGTTTGTTTGGTTTTTTTCAATTGGGTTTCTGGGTTGCATTGTTAATTATAATGTGTTAATTATAATGTGTTCAGTCTTCAGTGGGAACAAATGCATGAAATGAAGGAGATAGAGGCTGGAGCCGTGAGAGGTATTGTTGCACCATCTCAATAATTAAGAATTCTTCTACACAAATTTACTGTAGTATTTGTTTCCAAGGTTTATCCGCTCACACTCATGTCGAATTGCCTTATTATTCAAAGTTTCTGTTAATTGCTGCTTATTTGGCCTCATACAACCCAGCCCGAACAGACAAACGCTTCTTCCTCAAGGTACATGATTTAAACCTCCACGTGTACCACTAGATAGTTACACTGCATATACAAATACCATTTTGAAGAGCACAGTTTGGTTATTTTTTTTTTCCCCCAACAGCATCATGGTAAAATAAAAAAAACAAATTTTTTGAAGAAAAATGAAAAGGTAAACATGTGTTTTTATGTTTAGTTTCTGTTATGTTGGATAGAACTGAACAATTGAGTGTTTCCAGACCAGTAATCATCTCCTGGGACCAAAGCCCTTCCCTCTTGACCGCATGCTGGCAATCTTCTACAGTGTTGTGGACAGCAGGGTGGCCCCTACTGCCAGCATATTCTCTCAGGTCAGAGGTTTGTCAAACTGTACAATGAACACTCTTCATGTGTCATTCAACCATAGTGTGACCATTGACATGACGATGTTAATAATAATAATCATAATAATGCCGCATTGGTTTTACATAGCGCTTTTTTGGACAAAGGCGCTGCACACGGCATTATTAATTATCTCCATACACGGCGGTGAACACTTTAATTTTTTCATTTTTTAATCAAATGCGCCCTGGCATGTTTTTGCTGTGCCCTGGAAACCTGTTCATTGACAATCAGGTGCAAGAAAATTCCATCGTCCACGCCCTGATTTTCACCGGTTGTATCCACACTGCTGTTTGCGCTGTTCACTTTCTACCGTGACTGAACTACAGTGAAAGCGTACCGTCACAATCTCGTTAGTAGCCACCATCTTTTCTTCCAATATTCTGCTTAATATCCTACTGCTTAAACTGAACTGTGACAGAAGAATTACTCGTTTGCGCAACAAATCATGCTTTTCTAATCTATGAATAAATCAAGGATACTGAGAATAACTAAATGTAGTTTTTGTACAGCTTATATTCGTGATTTGCATTCTTTCATGCCAGACTTACTTCCCCCCCCGCAGATCTCCTCTCTGGTGACCTTACAGCTGCTGAACCAGGTCAGTCACGATGATCAGCTCGATGCCCCCAAATACAAGTGTGCCGTTTCTTTGGACTTCATCAGTGCCATCTCCAGGTATATAAATGTTTTATTCCTCATGAAATTTAGAAACTTCTGTGGAAAGAATTGCAATCCAAGCCTGTGTAATGTCTTTTTTTTTTTTTTTAGGACAGTCAACTTTGATATTGTCAAGTATTTGTACGACTTCCTCTGAGGCTGTTGTGCAAGAAAAGGACTACGACATAAGGAGCTTTGTACTGGAGCTCAAGACTACGCGAACTGAAATAATCAATTTATAGCACTGCCCTCTAGTGGTGACTTTATATATTCAGTTGAACTACAAACTTAAATATTTTCTTAAATAATTGTAGAAAGGGTGTATGTATGGGTGTATGTATAATGGTATGTGATTCCTTTTACTATGAATACTGGATAAAAATGTCTGAATTGAAAAGGTATTGTGAGGAATACTTATCTGCCAAGGCAAATGTCTGGAGGTGAACTGTTGACCTTGCTTGCAAGCAGAATAGCTGTTCTCTGGTCCTTTCAGGTCTATGTAGATATAAACACCTAATGTTGCAGTCATCCTTTCATGCCAGTATTATAAACAATTCTTGACAGCAATGTAAAATTAAAGGAAACTGATGCACGGATTTTTGATTTATTTTATAAAAAAGAAAACTTTGCAAAATATGTACAACAATTCTCCATAATTGAATAAGGGCAAGAACACGCTCTCCTGAAATTCAACATGTCATAAGATGCGAGTGCATATACTTTCCCTGCAGCTCCACAATACACACCGGTAATCAAAATACTGTATGAAGCCTTCACTCTGGCTACCGGTAATCAGAGTCCAACACATTTAGTGCCACAAGCTCTCTGTAAAACTTTAGCCTAGTGCGGAACCTAAATGCTGTGCCGTCGGTTGTGGATCATCGCCACAATGTGAGTGAGATCCAAACTCTTCATCATCACCTCCATGAAATCTTCATCACTCCGAGCCCCAGCCACAAACTCATCCAATGACAGTTCCCCTGCAAAGACAAAGCTCTTCAGGGCACTCAGGTATACGTTTGTGTTTTTGTCTGTTTGTGTCCTCACCATCTCCATTGATGTCGATCCTGTCAAACACTTTGTTGGTGAATTCCTCTGCTGTAGACTCCTGATTTTCATTTCCATTAATTGCTCGAATTGCCTGAAGTAACAGAAATAATGAGCAGTGGCCAAAGGCATTTGAAAATATCACATGTAAAATGTACCTTAATGATATTGAGAAGCTCATGTCGATCAATGCATCCATTGCCGTCCACATCATACAGTTTAAAATACCAGCGCAGCTTGTGCTCCATCTTTCCACGCATCACCAGACTTAGAGCTGCCACATACTCCATGAAATCTATGTATCCATCCTGGTGAGTCAAGAAAATTCATAAACTTAATTTATTAAAGGTGAAATGCAGTGTACCAGAATGGGGAATTAACTCATGGGACAGTATCCTTTTTAATAGGAACAAAAACAAAACATTGTTTCAGAGATAATCTCATGCCGTTAAATCATGCACGATTATTGCAGTGAGCTGTGAGACAGACTAAATATAGCTGTGCAGCTTTTCAATCTGCGACAACTGTCTCACACCAAGACTCATCACAAGAAGATCTTAGCCATGGCCTTGTAGGAGTAGCTGCCGTTCGAAAAAAATTTAAAAAATGATTATGAAATGGAAGGAATACATACAAAGGGGTGATTTCTTCACTGCCATTGGTTATCTAGTACATTTGCAAGTGTTTGTATCGTAAACATTTTATTTATTTTTTACAAAAATGAAAAAGATCCAACAGAGAAATGGTATTCCTTAGGTATAGTCTATGCTTCGTAAGAGTTCCCTTTTACAAAGCATATAGGAATTATAAAAGTGAATTACTGTTTTGAATGTTTTGTAAACAAAGGGAATTGAATTGAATCTGTAAATAGAATACCCTACCTTATTCATATCAAATGTGCGAAACATCTGTTCAATGTAGGCATTGGCTTCTGGGTCCAGACCCCGCAGTCCAAAGAACTGTTTGAACTCGTGCAGAGTGAGCTGTCCCGAGGGGCACTCCGTCATGAACTTCTTGTACCACAAGTGCATTTCCACGGCCTGCAGGTCGTCCACTGTGCAGCCGTTTGAGTTTCCCATATCTGCTGCAGCTCCCTCAAGACACCTGACCTCCTGTCCAATTGGTCTACTGTGAGACAGAGGGCCTCCCTCTTCACAGTCACACAACACAGGACATAGAGAATGCTGTCCTATTGCCAGGGCGCTTTTATAGGGGATGAAGATTGGAGGTGAGCCCCATGTGCCCTCTTTTAGTCTGATCACTGTAATCCAAACGTTCCCATGAGGAGATTAGCTGTCCTCATACACAGGCATGTTCACGTTTTGAGATGTGCTGACAGATGCAATATTGTTATCCTCATGTTGCAGACAGAGGACAATCAGAGGTGCCTCTGAGCTCATGGTTTATAAGCTCAAGTTGACACTGTTTGTCTACAGGTCAAACTATACAAATGGTTATAAACTGATGCTTTGGCTTGCAATACCTGCCCATAGGTAATTAACCATGATCATCTGAAGCACCAGAAAACTAATAACAGCTCATCTGGTTAATGGGGCTGTGCACTGTGAATTGGGTGCAGCTCTGACTGCCAACCCCCGACCCAGAAATGGATCAAGGGGAAGAAAATAGATGGATGGACGGCATTAGCCGTGAAGTAACTAAATAAGTAATAACTATATAAGGGGAAGGGGTTGAAAATGACATTGTGGGATAAAATGAGCCAGTAAATAGTCTGGTTATACCTCAATTGAAAGTGCCAGTTGGGATTCTGGCTTACTGTGTACTGTGGGAACACTGAAAAGTGCTATATAATTGTCAGTACACTAATTATGATTGTTCAAGCTTGTGTTGGGGATTGACAATCAGCATATGGTTTGCTATAATACAAAATTGACAATGGCTTAAAATAGTTGTTATTGAAGTTATATTTAATGACCTAATATAGTAAAAAAGGTGGTTGTTAATCGGTTTCACATCAAGGAAAATATAAACCTGCCAAAACTTGACAACAGGTGATATAGTATACTGTTACAAAAATATATAATCTTAGAAGTTATATAAAAAATAAACATATCTTTGGTAAATACTACACTTTTTTCTAACAAATAAAGTCTTGTTAATGATTCTTTATTTTAGTAAACTGCAGCTTGAATAAACAATACCAAAAACAATACTAGTCTCGACTAGTATTATTCGTGACTGGATCATCAGGCTTTTTTGTTGTGGATAATATGAATGATCTTCATAGCTTCAGGTGTGTCCTCCTTCACTTGACACATCTGAAGTGTGAGGATACTTCAGTCCCTCTGGCCCAGTCAGAGGCCTGGCTCTGGTGCGGAGGCTCAAGCACTATTTGCGACTCACGGCAACTTCCGGTGACTCGCGTGACTCAGGCGCTGTGAGCCGCGACTCAGCAGCCAGAAGTCGTGGCTCGCGGGTAAAAACACCACAATTCTTTGCTTATTAGGGGTATCTGGGGATGATTAGGGGCGACAGTGGCTCAGATGGCATAGCTTTGGTCTTTGGACCTAATGGTCGTGGGTTCGCACCCCCCACGACCACCTGCTCCCACTGATCTCTGCTGCTGTTATGTCCCTGGGCAAGACACTTAACCCCACTTTGCCTGAAGCCCCCTTCTGAAGCAACAGGCCCAATCGTGGTATCTCATATACAGTCACTAGCAATTACTTTTTGGGGAGAAAAAGTATTTCTTGTAATGAGACCTCATGAGTATGAGTATGAGTACAAGTATGTGGTAACAGCACAATACTGATATCGATGTTGGTGCATCCTCAGGAGAATAAACAACTATAAGAAAAAAAAAACAGTATTCGCAGTGCAGGTTTACAGTAATAGTGCAAGTGGTTGATAAAGTGATATTGGCATAATATATATTGAATGTATTTGCAGGGGTTACTGCATATTCTAATGAAAAATACTTTTTAGGGGTATTTATGAATTATGAATGAAACAATATTGTATCTGGGTGAACATTGTCCATGTTATCAGTGCCTTATACATACATACCAGCTGGTATGTGTTTGTATTACTCTCCATATATTGTTAACAAGTGACTTGCGAGACATGAGTCGCGACTCGTCTAATGACACCAGAGGGCGCTGTCTAATCTCACGTTGAAAATGAGTACTCAGCTACAAAACTCTCAGTAGAGTCACTTGGTCTCACTCAGTGCAGAGCTCTGCGCTTGCATCATGCATCCAAAATGATTGAAGAGATTGAAACTGCAGTAAGTAAACATAAATATTGGTTAATTAAATAAAAGAAAATGCAATGAATATGGAATCACAAATCAACACCAACCGACTCTCCACAGGACATTCCACCATCAAAAGAGGAGCTGAAACAACTGGCAGCAAAAGAGGCAAGACTTCAGCTTGCAGAAGAAAAAGAGCCAGACTCAGCAAGCCATTGCCTGCAAGAGCGCCCAATGTTGTTTATTTCAAAGAGCAACTGGTCAAAGAAGGTATGAAATAGTAGCTATAGAATTGAAAACAAAGTAATTGTGTACAGCTCTGACATAAATATTTTGTGTTTAAATTTTTTCCCTAGTGCTTTCCATAACCACATAAAAAATGTGTCTTGGATTCAGTGCAACGACTGCCAGGAATGGTTGCACTTTGAATGTGCTGGAGTTATGGGTGACATGTCCAAAACCACGTTCTATTGTGGATGCAAGCTAGTAGTAAATGTGTAAGAGTTATTATAAACTTCAGCAATGTGCCTTGTGTATTTTAACATAAATGTCATGTTATTTTGATATTTTTTTAAACAGGAATGACATCTTTCTTTCAACAAAAAGTGAACACTTTTTAACAGATGGAGAAATACTTGTAAAGCTCTAAAGGCAATATCTGCTTATAGTACATATTACATTAAAGGTAAAAGTAATTTTTATTTTTATTAGGAACTGAGGAAAAACCTTGAAAGTGGCAACGTGTTGTCCAACAGAATCTACATGTGGACAAACAGAGGATTTGATCCTATTCTTAAAGAAGAGTACCAAAGACATCTTTCAATGCAAGAATCACTGGTATGCTAGCTTTGTACCCTATTCTGGTCAAAATACTTTGATTTTCACTGTATTTTTATTATTATTAGCTGTATTTGTAGCTCAGTTGGTAGAGCATTGGCCTTTAGGCCAGAAGGTCGTGGGTTCAATTCCCACCTCTGCACCTTCTCCATTGACTCCCACTGATGACTGCTGTCGTTGTGTCTTTGGGCAAGACACTTAACCCCACTTTGCCCAAAGCCCCCACTGAAAGATCAAGGCTATGCTCACACTCAGAGAGCAGCCGTCCTCCTGTGGACTCACCACCTGCAGAGGGTCAGTGAGGGGCTGGTGCTATGAGACTTGGGTGGCATCTCTGACTGCCACCCCCCTGACCCAGAAATGGATTAAAGGGTAGAAAATGGATGGATGTATTTTTATTATTTATTTTTCAGATGGATGACATGTTTCAGCGACTTGAAAAAAATCTTCCAGAGAAAGGATTGGCAAAGAAAAATCTGTTTATTTCGGAAGTTTTGTTGCCAGAGGTTAACTGTACATCTCAAAGCATTTGTCTTTAACTTGTGGTATGTTTTCTACGTAACATTCTTCTTCCTAGGTTGTAATTCTGTGGCTTCAAAGAATACACAACATTTGCAGATACAGAGCAGAGTGTATACTCCACACGACTAAAGATGAGGCAAGGTATATTGTAACACAGTTTTTGTCACATAAGAAATTAATAACCAAAAAACCACATTATTATTTGTTATTTATTTATCCGGCTAAAGGCAATTAAAAAAATACATACAATACACAAACAAACACAATTATAAAAGCCACTTGTACCAAATTGTCCTTGTAGTAATATAATGGGATGACAAAGTGAGCCAAATATCCAGAGTACAGATTTCACAAAAATCTTTGCATTCCATTTTGTTGAATTGGGGCATTTTCATTATAAAAAATATAAAAGAAGTACAGGTAACTTTGGAGGATAGTGTGCTGAGGTGCACATACTAATGTAAATACAGAATTAAAGAGAAAGACACTAACCCAGATACAGATGGGGTACAGAATTCATTACCCCAATTCTATTGTATTACATAAAAGTGCACTAAGTAACTTCTATTGGGGAATTTTTTTGAACATGCTTATTTGAGCCTTTGGTGGCCCAGTGGCTGTATGAGTGCTGCATGGCACCTGTGCTTTCCCCCATAACTGCCTTCATGATGATCCTGGATTGGCGTCCTGGAGCATCATGCATTACTGCGGTGGAAAATTAAAGACCTTATGACGGGTTTTAAAAAAAAAAATAGTGGATATCAAAATTGCATGACAATATCAATTTGAAAGAGATTCCGGCAAAAAAATCCTATATTTTATAAAAAGAACGTGTTTTTCATGAATTTAAGTTGTCTATGCTCTAACCTGTGTGTGACGTCATAGCGGGTTACGCCCATGCATTGAAAACCATGGATCTATGCCACACAAGCCCCAGCGATCCAAGATGGCGCCCTATTCAAATGAATGGTTGTGCTCAGTGGCGCTTTGTGACAGCATGGGGGCTGAAAGATTAGCGGAAGTTGCCTGAAACTCGCAAAGATCTATGGGAAACTCGCCTGTATTTGGGCATCGTCTGGTCCTCCCGGTTCTGCGCAGTGGATGATCTCCCATAATGCGTTGCGCCAAACACGCGTGTGTGGGTCTCACACCAGGTCCCACGCACGTGCACAGAGGGGCTCGGCCGCGCTCTGACCAATCAGAGCAGTTCATCAGAGCGGGAGTTAGAGCCAGAGCCAGATGAGCAGAGTATGTGGCACTAAAGTGTGGATTTAAACAAAACCGAAGGATTTAAGAAGAAAAAAAGTTCAGGATGACAAGGGACACTAAAATCCCCACAAAATCCGACCTTTATTAAAGCTGTAGGTTCTCTGTCAGCTGAGGTTGAGCTGTTTTAATATGCATTGAGTTCTATGGGGAAAATTTCTGGGTAGCCCACGTGAATTTAGTCTGGTTCAGTCTGCAGTACCGCGAGAATCCCCTGAGCACATGAGTTATTCAGCTACAAGCTAGTAATACCCTATCCAGTTAATATAATACATCCATGATGCCACAGGACTGCCTTTTCTCTCTTCTCTCCACTGATGTCCAACACAACACTGCACTCTACAGGTGACAATTGCTCACTACACATAAATTGCCGTTTTGAGTTTGAAAAAGTGTCCGAGGTGGGATTTGAACCCAAGTATCTGGATTGGCAGTCCATCGACACAACCACTGGACTATCTCAGTGACAATGAAACGTGACATTGTAGTACTTACGACGCACTCGCTGTACACGGCCTTGTCATCTTGAATATCCACGAAAAAAGAACGAATACCAAATTGTAAACAACTTACAGCGTTGAAACGTACCCGTTCTGACGTCACCAAGGGCTGTGAAGTTTTTTCGTTTCTAAGGGCGTTGCTATGGGGTTATTTCGATTTGGGGGGATCAGACAAAAAAAACAACAACTGATTTTGAAACCTTTAGTAGTTCTCTTCTAATATAAAATGGTATTAAAACTGTATTTCTAAATAAATCAAACCCGTCATAAGGTCTTTTTTAAGGTGTCATGCTGAACCGGTTATTCTTGAATTGCAGAACTACTGAGATGACACCTCAAGATGAGCCACATACAGTAGAGAAGGTAAAACAAATAATATTTAAAAAAATTGCACAACATAATTCATTTTGATAGACCAATACTAAAGAATAAGGATTTGGTTTGAGTTTGACACATTTCAGTGTTGCACTTTGATGGCTGTAACTAATACATTTGTACACATTGCACTATAATATGATTTTTTTTTTTTTTTTACCACAACAACATGAGCTGTTACTTTGTCTCCCAATACAGGAACATATATATACAGCTCATTCATTAATAGCAGCAGAGTGGTGCCACAACACATTACTAGAAGGACATGTTGAGCTACCTTCACTGCTTTCAATGACTGGAGATGAACAGAGTGTGCTCTTCGCTAGCCTAAAAGAATCCAGCACTGATAATGAAGAGGAATCCCCTTATCAACATTTAATGTTCACTTTTGAACTGAAAAGTGACTACGAAAGTTTCATGCAAAACTGTGTGGACGAAAAGAAACTGAAAGTGTGTGCAAAGTTCCAGGTGTAGCAGTAATTGCAACACTGTCTTTTTTGTTGGATGATTACTTGATTTTTTTTATTGTTGCTGATTAAAGTTTGTATAAGGAGTTTAAACATGTTGAAATGTATTTTCCTCACCCTTACTTTTTCCTGAAATGCGCTAATGTGTAGAATAAGCCCACACCTGTGTCACTAAAAAAGGTGTTGCTGCGGGTCCAAAGTAGTAGGGTCATTCTGCGACCTGCAAGACAGAGGCGTGTCGTGAAGTAGGCGTGTAAGCTTTGCCTCCAGATCCATATTGGAGAGCTTTTCAAATAGGGCTGGAAAGTCTCGTCCCAGAAGCACTTCCGGTTCATTGCTCGGATACAAACAAACCGTCAGCTGTTCGAAGAGGCGGTTTAAGTGAATGGTGCAAAATGCTCTGCTTTGTTTTCGGCTGTTATCATCAAAGTTTACATGAAGCATGCTCATTTTTTAGGTTTCCCAAAGACCAACTGAAGCTGTGTAAAAAGCTATGCAGTTGTGATAAAACCTTTTGTCTGATTTTACAGATGGTTAACTTGAATATGTATTCAAGCTAACTTGTAGCTAATGCTAACCTGTAGTGCGCTGCCGAGCCTTTCATTGTGGCTTGTATTTTAAGATAAGATTAACTTTATTGTTGTCACACAGGAGATATGTATTTATTTATTTGAGAGATAAAGGAGGAACATATTAGCACATATTAAATAACATTTAACAAATGTTCAAATATAACAGAAAACGGACAATCATAATATTAGTTACTTAGTAGTAAATGAATAGGTAACCCAACTACATCATGTTATTTTTGACAGCACAGCAAAAAGAAAAAAGGCCCAATGTGAAGCTGCAGTGAGTGTGAAGTGGAGATGGAGCTAATGTACAGATAGAAAACATATCATTCATAAACATTGGCTCATAACCAACGCAGCATATATAGTGTTTCTATATTGTCTTTCTGATGCATAATAGTGGATTAAAAAACAATAAGTTTGAACACGGCCCTGCACCTTTCTCATCTCCCCGTCATATAAACTTCAGGACATGGTCAGTTCACAGCTAATTCCGACCGCTCACTCAGTTTTTCTGTCCCAGAGACGAAATGTGTCCAAAATAACACAGGAAAGTCCTTTAAGGAGGAAGAAGTCGGCGATCTCAGCACCATACAACCTACATCCATGCATACAAGTGGCACGTATGGTTCGTTTGTATCCGCGGGTGGAAATCTCGCAAAATCTCGCACTTCCGCTTTCCAGCCCTATAACGCTACATACTAGCTGATGTAGAGTGTCTAACATACTGATTACTTGTAAAGAATGCCTCCAGATCCATATTGTCTCATTGATCATTCCCAGATACCCCTAAAAAGCAACAAATTGTGTTATTTTTATCCGCGAGCCACGACTTCTGGCTGCTGAGTCGCGGCTCATAGCGCGTGAGTCACCGGAAGTTGCCGTGAGTCGCAAATAGTGCTTACCCTCTCTCCCAGGTCAGGAGGCTGTGCAGAGAGTCAAACACTGAGGCTGTGAAGCGGGTGAAGATGCAGAGCCAGCGCACCGCCTCCACCATCCACCGCCCAGAGCGGCCCGCGAAGGCCGCGAACACTGAGCTGTAATGCACCAGGAGCAGCAGGTTCCTGCTCAGCTGTCTCCATCTGTTTACTATTAGTGTCACTCTGGGGTCGTGCACAGCCATGTGTGCGGCTGACACTCAGCTTAATATTATTTCGAGTCTTGAACTCAGTCACACACGTTGGTAGTCGATCATTCAGAGTTGGATCTGTAGTCGGTCCTTACGCCGCTCCGCCGCGTGACCAATGAGCGCAGAGTTCGGTAAAGTCAGCTTGATATTCACAGATTCGGACTTCCGCCATGAATATCTCACGAAAGCAACGTTGTTAAACGAAAGTAATGGTGCCAAAATGATCACCTCTACTTAGGCTAAACTACTACAACATCGATTTTTCAAATCCAATGCGCTGCGCAGAGAGAGTCTCGTTTCCGGGATTGTTTGGTGATGTGGCTGTGCTCTGGAAACTAGCCGAGGGAATAACTCAATAAACCCACGACCGTTCACCTGGGGAGCTCTGGGACAGGTGAGCCACTGCAGATGCTTCGTCTTGCACTTCACACGGCTCCATCAACACTACCACAATAGAAAGAGAAATGCAGAGGGGAATATTTAGCTAAACGCTGCTTATTTACTTATTGAAGCTCTATCGCTAGCATCAGCTAACTTCACCGAATCTCGAGGAAAAAAACAACAACAATGCCATCATGGACCATCACTTTCATACCTTTGTGTTTATCTTAAAGCAGCTTTGACGCATTAGTGTTTTGTCCTGGCTGTTATGAAGCATCGCAGTCCATTATTGCGTTAGCTGCTAAAATCCTGCCCGTGCCCAGAGGAGTGCGCAGCCGCAGTGGTCTCGGTAAAGTTGGACAGATTATTGTTGCAGAGGAAATGAGTCACCTGACCACGTTAATAATCACCATGTTAAGTTACAGACATACTTTTTGGAGCGCACACAGAGGCGCTTGTCATGCTGTCATAGACGGTCAGTGGAAAAAAGTCATTGTATTGATGCTGTTATCATTTCTTTCAGTGCCAGCTCCATGTTCAGTCGTTTGGCGACAGTCCTCCAGGAGCTCTCTGGAGAGGAGGGCGCTGATGGAGAGGTAAGATAATGTACATCTGCAAAAAATCGGATTATATATTCTACACAATACGCCACATGTAGGTTTGTATGGACCTAAATATACTGTACCAATGAATGGATGGATTATTGATAACCGTCCATCCATGATACATAATGAAGAATAATAATAATGAATGGATGATTCATTATTATTATACTAATCATGCTTCATTAGAATAATTTGTAATGTAAAACTGGCATTAAGACAAATGATTATGATAACGATGGTAGATATTCATAATAGAGGCGATACAAAGTCAGATACTTTGTATTGTTAATGATGATAATATTCTGTGAAACATGGAGATAAATCATCTCCATGGAGACCTGCAGGTAGAAGACCCTGCACTAGAAAAGGTTTACAAACAGTGTGTACTACAATCTCAAATACAAGACCTATACAAGTGAAAAGTGTTTAGAACACAGAAACCAAAGCACATGGGATTGGACGCATCACTTCCTACAACATAGGTAAAGCAAAAAGCAAGATATACACATTATTATTAACATACATTATTCCATCCATCCATCCATCCATTTTCTTCCCCTTAATCGCGGCACGGTGGCTGAGTGGTTAGCACTCTTGCCTCTCAGCAAGAAGGTCCTGGGTTCGAATCCCGGTCGGACCAGGGCCTTTCTGAGTGGAGTTTGCATGTTCTCCCCGTGTCTGCGTAGGTTTCCTCCGGGTACTCCGGTTTCCCCTACCACTAAAAATATGTCCAATAGTTCTGGCATGTGCCTCCTGTACTGGCCCCGCTCCCATCTCTGTGTGGAGTGAGAGACAAATGCCCAAAAATTAACAATTGTAAACCGCTTTGAGACTCAGATCTGCAGTGAAAAGGCGGTATATAAATAAAAACTTACTTACTTACTTACTTCTGGGTCGGGGGTGGCAGTCAGAGGCGCACCCAGTACACATGGCACCATACTATATTATTGTTAATATTATATTATTATTATGATTATGATTATTTATTGACTTATTTATTGACTAATGGTTAATCTGTTTGAGTAATAATAATGCATTGGTTTTATATAGCTACTGTCGCCCCGCTATATATATATATATAGCGGGGCGACAGTAGCTCAGTTGGTAGAGCATTGGCCTTTGAGCCTGAAGGTCGTGGGTTCAAGCCCACCGTAAGACCTACTTCACGACTCCCACTGATGACTGCTATCGTTGTGTCCTTAGGCAAGACACTTAACCCCACTTTTCCTGAAGCTCCCACTGAACAATCTCAGCTCCTGTGGACTCACCACCTGCAGGAGGATCAGTGAGGGTGGTGCTCTGTGTACTGGGAGCAGCTCTGGCCACCCCCCCGACCCAGAAATGGATTAAGGGGAAGAAAATGGATGGATGGATGGATGGTTTTATATAGCGCTTTTTTGGACACTCAAAGACGCTTTACATGTCGTTATTCATTCACATCACGGTGGTGATGAACTACTACTGTAGCCACAGCTGCCCTGGGGCACACTGACAGAAGCGAGGCAATCAGTATGTGCCATCGACCACCACCAACCATTCAGACACACACCAGACTCATGGGGGTGAAGTGTCTTGCTAAGGACACAACGGCAGCAGACAGTGGGAGTCGATGGTGAAAGTCTTGAGGTGGGCTCAAACCCACGACCTTCTGGCTCAAAGGCCACTGCTCTACCACCTGAGCTACTGTCGCCCAATGACGAATAGTCTTCATTGTTTTATTGTTTGATTTCATATATCCTGTTGGCAAGGGTTTTGTGACAACAATTCTGTAACGCCCTTTGAGATGATTGTTGTTGTGACTTTGAGTTCTACAGGAATCAATTTGTTGGTTATTAATATTTAAATAATATAAGTTGTAACTATTTGTAGCTAGACTTTTAGGTATGAAGTTCATGGCCCTGCCCGTCACTTCTCCTTTTATAACAAAAGCTCACTAAATCAAGCGTAATAAATTACTTGCGACCACTGTGCAAAAAATACTCTTTTTGGAAGCCGGGCATTTAGCCAGGTCTCAATCAGAACTACAACTGCACTTTATGTACCTATGTTAGTGCTGTACCTCTAGGCAGATAGTCACTAGTTTTATCTCTTTTGGCTTTCACTCTATGTTGTTTCTCTGTTCTCTACATTACACAATCCTTCACCTCCTGTTGTTGCCTTTTGTAAACTTCATCCAGTTTGGAAATTAAACATTTTGTCTGTCGGGAAGAAAACCTGTTCTTTGTGCTGTGCTGTTAAACAGTACAATCATCGCTGCATCGCTGACCCCTTATACCGGAACCACTAATTCATTAGCTCCATAGTTCAAATTCAATTATACATTTATTCCTGACTGCTGCAGTACATAACCAAAAACTTTGAATGCTTTCTGTCACCCCTTCAACAACCCTCTTTTGTAAAATGCATATTTAATTATGTCGTATATCCTGTCCCAGGGAGAACTTGTGCCTAGACTTCCTGATGGTGATGACACTTCTGAGTCGGAGGTACCTGAGGAGGCCATGGAGAGGCTGGCCCACTTGGAGCAGCTTGTTGTCCAGTTGAAGGAGCTAATCCGAGATAAGGACTCTCAACTTCTGCAAAAGAATACAGAGCTGATCAACAAAGATGCACAGATTAAGGTGACTATACATTCGGGAATGGTTTTATATACATATAGGAATTATTTTAATAATTGTTCTGATTATTATTTGTTAATTTTCTCTCCATAGAGTGAAGGTGAAGCAGCTGAGGCCCGCTTCACTAAACTTAAGTTACAGGCAAAGGCAAAGATGGCATCTCTCACTAAACAAATAAATGATCTAAAGGGACAAGAAGGCATTGCAGTAAGTGAGAATTGTACCCTTATTATTATCCTTCTAGTCATGGCGTAATTGTTTGGTCATCAATATTTTCTTGTCAGTCTCCAGACACCTCATTTACAGGAGCAGGTGGGCCTTCAGAGGAGGAAATACAGGAGCTCAGGACAAAACTGAGTAAAGAAAAGGATGAAAACAAGAGTCTGAGAGACAAACTGCAGGCCACGGAGCAACTACTTCAAGACCAAGCGTCCGCTAATGCTGATCAGGTGGGGTGACGCACGAACTAAACAAAAAAAACTAATCACACAATAATAATGTGCCAATGCATTCTTTGCTTTTGTCAGGTTCGAATACTGCAGGCTGTAATTTGTGAAAAAGATGTTCGTTTTCATGAACGGATCCAAGAACATGAAGAGGAGATGCTCAGGGTCACATCAGAGTCTCATAACGAAGAGCTTCAACAGGTGTGCACTGATTTGCTTTCTGCTCCAGTGGGTGAAGTATACGCCAGATGAACATGTACAAACCAATATCTGGTGTATACTTAATACTTGTATATTTATGTATAGATATAGCTGCAGCTACACAATACACTGACAACAAAGCATAGTGGAGTTTGCTTGAGTTATCAGAAAAACATGATGCAATGTTAGAGGACAGTGTAGTACGCTTGATATGCAGTTTTTATGTAGGAATTTGACTTTGATTAATAAAGAATGAAATACGCTTCCAACCGGATTACTCTGGTCAAATTACAATTTTGAGATATTGTTGTTAAAGTTTCTTTAGCTTTTGTTTCTGAACAAAACATTCTCATTTCTGCACCACAGCACCCCTCTGCTTTCGAACATTCCCATGGTGTTTATATTTAAATACAACATTTAAACATTTTATCCAACGATTAACCAGACCTGTGTAGTTAAACAATTTATTCTGATTTTCTCATGTTGTCAAACAAGAACTGTAGTAGTTAAGATGTAGCCCTAAAATGCATCTACAGTTGTGTCTATCATTATCAGATGTTTCCAGTTAACCCATTAGAAGGGGTTCCAAGGTCATGATATATTAACTTTCCCACATTGTTTTATAGAATGTAATCTTGGTGCCTGTGAACACAGGCTCTCAATAGACAGAAGAAATATCCTTCTTTTTACACTGTACATAAACTTGCGGTTTTCCCTGCTGAGATGTCTAATATATCGCCTTCATCTTACCATTGTAGGGTTTAGGTGCAAGAATCTATATGTATTAGTAACTATATTATAACATTTTGCCCTCATCAAAAACACACACCTTGAATTATTTTAAGATCCATCCACACTAACACCATTATCAAACATTGTAACTCAGAGCAGTTTTCTGTCTTTCAAAGCAAAAGTATTGCTCGTTCTATTCAATGAATTCCTATCTCTGGTGTTAGCATGGGGAGTTACAGGCAAAAAACATGATTTACCCTTGAGATCAATTCATTTAAAAAGATTTGCATTTAAGGGAAAATAGTCATTTGTGGACTTCTTCTGCCTCCAGGCCTTTCACGCCGCCCAGCGGAGATGTGAGGAGTTGGAGGAGACTGTGGCTTCTCGGTCTCAGGTGCTGGAAATGCTGCAACAGGAACTCAACAGCGCTGATCAGCAAAAACAGGTGTGGTTCCTGTTTAACTGGATACCATGTTGGTTTTAAACATTGTTGTGCATGTGACACACAGGGCCATACCTCATTAACTTTTCCACATTTTGTCACATTCATATAGATATCTTAATTAGACTCTTTTGTGAAAGACCAAAGGCAAAGTTGCAGACAATTGTGAAATGAGTTGAATTATTTTTTCCCACCTATTCAGTTTCTTGGGAAATGCGTGTCTTATTTTTCTGTACTTTTGTCAGATTAGGTTTATGAACAGCCATTTTTAGATATAGCCATTCATTCTTTTTTTTGTTTTTTGTTTTTGGATTCACTTTGTCTGCCACCTTGTGTTGGTCTTTCACTATAAAAATCAAATATAATATCTCCTTGGATCCTAAGTGAGATACTCAAAAGACGCTTCAAAAGTTTGTGACAAAATGAAAGAACAAATAAATAAATACTAAATACAAATACAAGTTAAAATGAGGCCTTAAAAAAACACAAGCAGACATTTAATGAATACATTCCATGGATTCCAAGTTTCTAAGATACAGGGGCAGTGCATACTACAGCTTTGGTGCCACCAACTCAAAAGCTTGGTCGGTTGTAGTCCATGGGACAGTTAACAGGTGCTGATTGGCAGACCTATTTTTTCAAGGCATTGTAACAGCATTTGAACAACTATTTGTATTTATTTATATAGAAATAGCATTGGTAATAATACAATGTTTTTATGTGGGCTTTATAACAAAATGATAGATTCACATTTTATTATTTATAAATCGCTTCATTGTTTTGACCAGATCTTGAGCACTCAATTCCGTCAGATGGAGCAGGAGCTTGCAGACTCGATCAGACTGAGAGAAGAGGAGAAGCAACATTTGACAAAGGCACAAGCTGAAATTTCATCTCTGAGAAATGGCCTGGAGGCCTGGGAGGCAGAGAAAGCTGAGGTGGCCAGGCTCCAGATTGAACTGGGAGCAATGAAAGAAGCAGAGATTCTAGGTCAAGAAGCTCTGCAGAGGGAGAAGACTGAGGTTACAAGACTGGAGCAGGAACTGGCTAAACTGAGGGAGTCTGAGGCAATGCTGGAAACTCACCGGGCAGAAATGGAGCTTGTTGAAAAAGAGCTGCAGTCTTTGAGGGAAGCAGAAACAGAAAGACTGGCTGCTGTGGAGAGTGAGAAATCAGAGGTGGACAAGCTCAATAATGAACTGATGGCATTCAGAGAAGAGCGCGAGCAGCTACAGGAGCAGAGGAGTGCTCTGAATGAAGCTTGGACACATTTACGATCTCTGGATTTGGGAGATTCTACAATTTCTGATGAAGGCCCTGTTGACCCCACTCAGTTCATGCAGATAGTTGGATCCATCGAAGCTCAACTTTTGAAATTAAGAGAGGAACAAAGCAATAGTGAGAAACGCTGCCAGGAGCTTTACCGTAACATTGATACCCTTCAAGGTGAGGGTTTCTGTACCAAACATTCATGTACCATTAACCACATTTTGTTCTGACACTTAACAGGTTATCTGTTTTATTTTTATTTTTTTCTTTAGAACAATTGGACATGCAGATTAAAAGCAATGAAGAAGTACCAAAAATACAGGATCAGCAAAGTAAAGAGGTTGGTGACAAGAGGCATTTATCAGATGTTTTAACTCGACACAAACATTAATTTGAATACATTTATTTTGTCTTTAAATTTTCACAACTTTCTTTTATTTAAAAGAGTAGCGTGACTCTCTTGAAAAAAAGGTTCTTAACATTAATGAGACTTATAATAAAGGTTAATTAAAAGTGGAAATCCACTCAAGCTTTGAAAGGACAAGGTGCAATTAGCAAAACGGTAAAAAATGTTTGCTTGTTGTGTACTAAAATCCATGCAGACGAGTCAATATTGGTCATGTGCAAACTGTCTCGATATATTCTGGATATATTCTTTCCACATTTTTTCTTCAGTAGAACTTTTTGCAAATATTGTTCCTACCATTGGGCTTGTCGTCTGAGTCGTGTCTACGGTATTTTTTGACTATTAAGCACACCTGCATAAACTGTACCTTCAACCTTTAAAGTAAGTACTTATTGGCTGCAGTTGAACATAAGCCACAGGTTGTCCTTTTGTAACGTAATCCTTACCAACGGCTAATCAGCAGCTGGACACTACGTAATTTAATAATAAGGTTTAACGTACTAACTTGTGAAAGACACAGCTTGGTAAATTAAACGAGAAAATCTTATCATTGGCTTCAATGACTAAATAGGCCGTGGGGTTCAAAGAAAAAAGTTATTTATCGTCAGGCAATTATGCTACTGCTAATGGGTTAGACCCTAAGTCTATTGGAGACCTTAAATCTGGTACATGTATTGAATGACAACTTTTTTGGTTTGTTTTATAGATGCCTGTATTTGGTCATGACTCAACATCCACACACGATGATACAGGTACTGTATTATACTTTAGGGCAAAGAGATGGAAGTCTACTATAGCACATGTATAATAAATACATGTTTGGTATGTTTTATACAGAACGCATCTCTTTCCTGGAGCAGCAGTTACAGGAAAATGGTGATGTGCTGTCTGCTTTACAAGGATATATTTCCCTGAACTATGAATCCGTTGAAGCAACCGAAGCTCAAAATATTTCTTTACAATCTGATGAAGACAATAGATCTGTTCTTCAGGACCTCTTTGAGGAACCCCAGGAGGAGGAGACCACATTAGTTGCTGAAAACACATCAGTTTTGTCTATGTCTGCAGACAATGAGAGCAGTCCAGAGCCGATTGAAACCCATTCAGAGTCCCCAGAAGAGTCCAAAGCCTCTTCAGATGAGATGGTGGCGAGCAGTGACTCTGAGGTGGCCCACAGCAGCTGGACACTTTTGGAGGCTGTGAACCAGGAGGGGGGGCAAGAGTGGCCATCTATGTTACACGACTATAGTCAGCTGCAGTCATCATGGGAAGCCACAAGCATGGAGCCGGAGATGTCCACAGTTGAGACATCACAAGTGATTATTCAAGAGGACGTGGAGGTTCGCCTGACCCAGCAGACCTCGTCTGTAGAACAAGGTGTGACATCTGGCCAACAAGTCTTTGTTGAAGAGCTACAGAAAAAATACAGTGAGTTGCTGACAGAGCTGCAAAGGCTCAGACAGGATGCTAATGAATCTCAGAGGAAAATATCTGCTTTGAAAGAGGAGAATCATGTACTCATTGCTGCTAAAGAATCTGCAGAAACTCAGGCCTCTCATTATAAACAAGAGCTTGACACGGTCAAAGAAGGACTTGATCATGTCTCTCTGCAAAATGATTCTACACAAGAAAAACAGCATATTGAAATGCAACTTTTAGAAGAGCAAATAGACATTTTAAACAATCGATGCACAGAGAAAGAGGAAACAATCCAGAACCTGAAATTAGAACTTGTTAATGCTATGGCGTCCTTGTCAGAAGAACAGAGCCAGGCGCAGATGCTCAGTGTCCAACTGGAGGAGAAGGAGCAGTTCTCTTTGGAGCTCAAAGAGAAGCTGCATGATTTGTCCTCACAGTGCAATAATGAATTACTGTTAAAAAAGGACTCTGTAATCAGTGAGCTGCAGCTACAAATAAGTGTAAAAGAGCAGGAGATTATTGCACTTAATGAACAACTGTCTGCTAAAGACATTGAAGCCCAAGAAGAGAGATTTTTGGTCAACACTGAAATTAAGAGATTGAAAGATGAGATGCACAAGCTTAACAAGGTAGTTGACAACAAAGAAACTAGTGAATCCTCAACATCTACTGATAAAGAAACTATACAAAAGGAAAAAGAAGAGCTACAAACACAACTTGGCAACACAAAGAAGAAATTACAGGCAGCACTTGTGCAGCGCAAAGAACTCTTGAAAAAAGTAGCAAATTTAGAAGAAAAGACTGCTGACCAGAGTATTACGGATGAAAAAGAGGAGTGTAAGTACAGAAGCAAGGAGTATGAAGAAATGGAGACTAAGCTTGTCGAACTTGAACAAGCCTTGAAAGCCAAAGCTGAAGTTGTGGAGAGTCTAGAGCAGAAGATAAGCAAACAGGAACAAGTTCTGGAAGAGACTCTTGCTTTAAAGAGAAGTGAGGAAGAGGAAAGTTCTCTGCAATCTGACACATTGAAAATGTTACAATCACAAGTTTCGGTCCTTGAATCAGAGTGTGATGCGCTTCAGAGGAAGGTCCAGGAAGCGCAGGAGTCACGCAAAGACACACTACGTAAAGCAAAGGATAAAGACCGGCACCACCGGGAACAACTAAAACACCAAAAAGAAGAGTACTCTGAGCTTATGGAACGTTTTGAAAAACAGAGTGATGAGAATGAAGTGCTATTGCTTAAGTTGAACACATTGGAAATGAACAAGGTGCAGGAAATCCAGTCTAGTCAGGAGCCTCAACCAAAAACTGCAGAAAAACTCACAGCAAGTGACTGGGGACAGGAGGATTGGGTTGATTTTACAGGCAGTGAGTCAGATACAGTTCAGAAACCAGCGAGTGATGAGTGTGGACCAGATGAGAGTCAGTGCTATCCTGTTCAAGTGGATGAATCTGTGGACTCTCTCAGAATGGAAGTTAGTGCTTTACAACAATCTAATGCAGAACTAGACAAGAGATTGATAGAAACAATTAATGATTTGTCATTCAAAGAAACACAATTATTGGAATTGACAAATGATCTGCAACAACTTAAAGAAAAAGAAACCCAAATAGATGTTGTTTCTCAAGAGATGAATATACTTCAAGAAAAATATCAACAAGCCCAGATGTATGCCGAAAATCTCAAGGATGAGATGGACACTGCTGTCAAAAAGGCCTCTGAGGACTCTGCGTCATCCATCACAGCACTTCAGGCTGAAATTGCAGATTTTAAATTGTTTCTCGAGAATAAAAACCATGAAATAAATGAGCTCAGTCAACAACTTCAGGAACAGAACACTTTGATACACTCCATGGAGACCAGTGTGTCCCACAAAGACGAACTAATTGCCTCTTTACAGGAAGACCTGAGGATGGAGAAAGAAAAAACTCAGAGATTAGAAGTGGAGGTTCCACAAAAACAAGAGGAAGAAAAAGACAGTGAAACAAAGTTACAACAGCAGCAAAGAAAGCTGCAAGCAGCTCTGATTAGCCGTAAAGAGGCGCTCAAAGAAAACAAGAGTCTGAAGGAGCAGATAGCCTCCATTGAGCAGGAACATACTGAACTGAAGGAGAAAATGGCCGCAGCGGAACAAGAGCTTGTGAAGTTTCAAACTGAACGTGAGCGGCTGATCAGTGAGGTGGACCGCTTACTCCTAGACAACCAAAGTTTAGATTCTTCCTGTGAGAGCCTTAAACTGGTAATGGAGGGCATACTAAGTGAAAAAGAAAATTGTCAAAAAGAGGCAGAGCTTGTCAAAGAAGAGGCTGCCCGTGCCAGGACAGAATGGGAGGAAAGGGTAAGAGGCATGAAAGAGGAGTATGAGACTCTGCTGAAGTCTTATGAAAATGTGAGTGATGAAGCTGAGCGTGTGAGACGAGTCCTTGAAGCGGCCAGACAGGAGAGACAAGAACTTGCGTCCAAAGTGAGGGCGCATGAAGCATCAAGACTAGATGCTCAACGACAAGCAGAAGATGCCAAAAAAGAAGTTGAAACCGTGAAAGACAAAATGAGAAAGTTTGCCAAAACAAAGCAGCAGAAAATAATGGAATTGGAAGAGGAGAATGAACGGTTGAGAGAGCAACAAGATAATTCCTTGAATGTGTCTCCAGATAACAAACTACTTAAAGCTGAGCTTGAGAAATCATGTGCAGGCTTGAGTGCTTTGCAAAAGGAATTGGAAGAAATCAAAAGCGAGCGAGACACATTAAGCCAGCACATGGAGGAGTTGAGGGAAGAACTTGGAAAAAGGGAAGCTCAAGAAATGATTTTGAGTCAGTCTGCATGTCCCGACACAGGTGTCGGGACAGATGAGGTTGTAACTGCTGTAACATCAGATCTGATTATCACTAAATCTGAGCATTCAGAGGGCCAAGAACATGAGGAAACAACTTCAGATTTATCAAACAAAGTTGAAATGGATGGATATACCCCAACTGAGGAAAAGGGTGACCTTGAACAAATGGAAAAGAAAATGAAGGAAATGGAAGTGACTTTTGCTTCTGAAAAAGAACAATGGCAGCGAATTGAAGCTGATTATAAGGCTCAGTTGACTGCTCTTGAACATGAGATTGATCAATACAAAACACAAGAAGCCATTTTGGCACACTCACTTCAGCAAAGCAAAGAGAGTGAAAAGAATCTTTTAGAGGAAGGTGACAATCGAGAAACTCATTTCAAAGAGGCTCTCAAAAACCTTGAAACTGAGAAGGATAACTTAGAGGAGCGCCTGATGAATCAACTGGCTCAGCTCAATGGCAGCATTGCCAGTTACCAACAGGAGGCTGCTGACCAGCGACAGCAGCTGGCCGAGATGCAATGTGAAATGGAAACACTGGAGCGTGCGCGCGCTGAACTGGAGGCAGAGTACCAAAGTGAGCAAGCTCATACCTTGAGGCTGGAAGAGGACATCCGACAGGCGCAAAGGCTGCGAGCAGAGGCTGAGGCACAGTGTGGGAAACAAAGAGAGCTGCAGCAACAGTTGCGCTCTGCTGAGCGCGTGAAAGAAGGAAGTCAAAGCCGGTCGAGGCAGCTTGAAGAGCTGCTAAGAGAGAAACAGCTAGAGGTCCGCCAGCTACAGAAGGACACAATTCAGTACCAGGAGAGGATCAGTGAACTGGGTCGAGAGGCTAAAGCACAACAGATCACTCATGATGAGCTGCTGAAGAAACATCAACAGGCTCAACTTGAACTTTCAAAAACTGTTGAGGATTTCAAAAGGGCTGAAATAGAGTTGTCTGATTGTAAATCTCAGTTAAATTCTGCTAATGAACAGCTAAGGGAAGCATTAGCTGATAAAGCTGCTGTCGAGAAAAAGGCTCTGCAGAAAGAGGGATCACTCAAAGCTGAAGCTGAAGAGACTTTGGACTCTGTGAGGTTCAGGCTGGGAGCTGAGCTGAAGGAGATGGAGCTCAGACTAGAGGAGTCTTTCAGAGAGCGGGAGAAGGAGGAAGAAGCAACAGCAGAGGCCAGAGAGCAGGCCGAGGCAGTGGAAAAGCGGGCACAAGGAATACAAACTCAACTGGACGAATCACTGGCCAGGTTGGCTGCTTTCTCACGTTGCATGTCCTCACTCCAGAACGATCGAGACCGTATTTTAGATGAGGCTCGTCAGTGGGAGAATCGCTTTAACAGTGCTCTGCAAGGTAAAGAGGCTGAAGTTCGGGAGGCTGAAACACGTGTCAAAGTATTGACTGAACAGCTCCAGAAGGAAATAGCTCTAAAAGAAGACCTTCAAATCTCTATTGAAAGGTAACAAAATAAATGTTTTTTACACATAATAGTATACTTCATGTCAAACTTCACACATGGTTTGTTTGTTTTTAGTTTACAGAAAGCTGACAAAGAATGGAAACAGAAAATTGAAGATGCTGACTATAAATTCAAAGCCAGTGAAGAGTCTCTTGAAAAGGAGAAGAGCCTCCTGGTGCAGACGACTGCTGCCTTACAGGCTGTACAGAGCGAAGCCCTCAGCCTCCAAAAGGAAGTGGAGAGTTCACATCACAGACTGAGAGCTCTGGAAGAGGCAGTGGGCCGCGTACAGGCTGAAGCAGATCAGGCCAGAGCAGAAGTGACACAACTGGAATCTGAGGGGAGACGTTTGTGTCTGAGTGTGGAGCAGCTAGAGGCAGACCTACGCTCCTCAAAGACCCTGACAGAAGATCTGCAAATGGAGTTGAATGAGAAGGAAAGAAAAGAGGTTGAAATGTTAGGGGAGAAAGAGCAAGCTGTAGCTCAGGTATGTACAAATCAATTATTAATGAAATATATGGCAAAATAGACATTTGACTATGAAAGACTTTTTTTTTACAGGCGGCAGAAGAGGCTAGAAAGGAGGCTGAAAGTAGAGCACAGGAGGTCGAGAATGAGCTGGAGCTTAAAAGACGGGATATGCAGCAGCTTGATGACAAAATGCGAAAAGTGCAGGCTCAAAGTGACCAAAATAAAACAAGACTTGAATCGTTCACAAAGGCTATGGGCTCTCTGCAGGATGACAGAGACAGAGTGCTTAGTATGTACAAACAACTGGAGGAAAAACATCTTAAGGTACTGGAAAACCACTACTTCATTTCATTATCAAGCACAGAAATACTAGAATACTTCTGTATTAAAATAAAAAAAATCTAAAATATCTTTTATTAAGCTAAAGATTGCTTTAGTTTACTTAATATTCACTTCCTCATTCCTACTGTTCTTTAACTTGTGATGCAACACTGACATTGCCCACTTTGAGACGAATAAAGGATCTCTTATTAATGAACGTTTGTATTGTAGGTGATGATGGAAAAGGATGGTTTGATCCAAGAAGCAGCTGGTGAAAACAACAGCCTAAAAGATGAGCTGCGCTCTCTGCTCGTGCAGAGAGACGACCTCTATGCGGAAAAGGCCAAACTGGAAGCTCAGCTTCACGGATACCGCGAAGAGCTCAATCAAGTCCTAAGCATGAAAGAATCTCAACACCAGCAGCTTTTATCAGCTCAGCGGCTGCGTATAGCCACTCTTGAAAAGGAGCATAAAGAAATGGAGAATCAGCTGAGGAGCTTGAATGTGGCTAAGGACTCAGAGGGTTACATGAGACTGGAGGCGGAGACTCTAAGTCTGGCAGCTGAAAACAAATCATCTTCACAAGTGGTTGATGCCCCTGGAGCAGAGGTGGAGAAGCTCAGGGAGCAGCTGGAAGCAGCAAAAAAACAAGTGACTGATCTGGAGGACACACTCTCCATGGAGAGGGAAGCACATGAGAGCAAGAGCAAAGAGCTGGCAGAATTAAAATGGGAGGGAGGAGTGATGCGCACAGAGTCTGAGAGTGCTCAGGAAAGGGTTGCAGAGCTGGCAAGGGACCTGCTGATTGTGGAACAGAAATTACTGAAAGAACTTGAAGTCACACAACAGCTCAGAGCAGAGAACCAGGCTTTTTCCAAAGCTATGGCTTCGCTTCAAAACAGCAGAGACCAGGCTGTACAAAGGGCACAGGAACTCGCTCTGAAAGTGGAAGAACCTGGCAGAGCAGACGGCAACACGGGGCAAAGTGGATCAGCCAGATCCACAGGGGAAGTCTGGGGTCTAAAGAATGCTCTGCAGGCCCTGCAGAATGACAGAGAAAGATTAGTGAGTTTGATTTTTGTGTTTTGTTTCATGTGAAACTCATTGTTGGCTCATTCACCCAATGGTGTCTATATTTCTCCTCAGCTGGAGCAGCTTGAATCACAGTCTACTGAGCTAAAAAGGCAAAAGTCCGATCTGTCCCGACTTGGTGCAGGAGAGCTGATCAAAGTCAGTCAGGAGCTTTTTGAGGAGAAGGAGGTGAACAAAGATCTGCTGGGAGTGATTTCAGAGCTGGAAAACACTGTCAAAGTGGGAAAGCAGGAAATCGATGCACTGCAGTATGTTTGAATAACTTGCTTTGGTTCAATACTGCTTCAGTGAAAGATAATTTGTATATTATTTTCCCTTCTCAGTGTGGAGCGGGTGGATATTCTGACTCAAGCTGAGCAGCTAAAGCAACAGACTCTTGCCACACTATCTGAAAGGGACCAACAACTGCGGCATCTCGCTGCTATGCTGGATGAGGTTCAAAATAAGAAAACACAACTTCAAGAACAGTATCAAAGACAGGTATACAAGTCAAATTTCGTAAGATATACACTCAAGAGCAACATTTACTAGTGTTTGTTATGGTGTTAAATGTGTCAGGGAGCGGAGGATGGTGCTCCTGGTGCTCCTCAGCAGAAGTCCACTGCTCTGGAGACGCATGGCTATGTGGAGGAGATCAAGGAGCTCCAACGGAGGTACCACTCATTGTTGTTTCAATTAGATTTCTGTTGACTGGTTAAGTTTAATGTGCGATTTCACACCAGATTAGATCAGGAATCCCAGCAAAGAATAGCTTCTGAAGACCAGCTGCAGGCTTTACAGGACCGAGCAAGACGGTGGGACAAGCAGACAAAACAAAAAGCTTTAATTCCATCTGGTTGATGTTTGAATCCATTGATCCTTTTACATTTTCAGTCACAGTCAGGCTCATTGGAACTTGGCACTGGAGGAAGATCCCTCAGAAACGGCTGTGTTTATTGAGCCACCGGAGGGAGTGGTCACTAGAGTAAGTGTTCTTTCATTATAATGAACTGTGTAGACAAATGGACTTTGGCCGTAACCCTTTGTCGCTGCTCTTTGTAGATGCGGAGAGTCGGCAGTCCAGGACTGCTGCGCATGTTCAGAGTGGTTTTCTGCTCTCGCCAGCGCACCCCTCTCCTGTTCAGTCTCTACCTGCTCACGGTTCACGTCCTGCTGTTACTGTGTCTCGGAGGTTACCTCTAAAAGCTGTCGACAGTTTCCTCACAGGAATTATGTCAAAACCTAAGCCATTTTCTGTTTTTGTTTCACACAAATATTGCACATTGAATTATCTTTTACCCATATCCAAAGGTTTAACTGTAGAATCAATGTTTGGTATGAATTTAACAACTTTGATTTAATTATAGGGTAATCTTATGTCAGAAGGGGACCATGTTAATTTAAAAGGGATTTTTGTGTATATATTTATATATATATATATATATATATATATATATATGTGTGTGTAGATTGAAGTATTGGGGCTAAAGGAATGTTCCTGTGCCTTTTTTTAACTGTAAACATTTATTGAAAAGGGTCACTTTTTTACTGACTTAAGTTTTAACATGTTATTATTAAGGTTTGGTTTCTTATGCTAATCGTTTCATGCACAAACAAATTGAGCATAGTGCAATTACTGGCCTTGTTATTATTGTAGGACTAATCTGATGTAGCCTGTTTGATAACTGAATATAATGAATAATAATAATTGTGTCAAGTCACATTGTGGCTGCGGAAAAATGGACATAACATCTTGCTTAAATTATAATTCAGTTACAGCAAATGTTTGTTATAATGTATGTAATTAAAAGGCATTCCCATGTATAAACTACAACCCTATTCTAGCATGAGTTTGTTTAAATACTGCTGGTATTAAAATCAATAAAGGGTATTTTTATGGGTCAAAGAGTTAACTTTTCTCTATTCCATCCATCAATGCCTCTTCTTTCACTTTATCAGTTTCTGGATTGCGAGGGCAGTAGTCCAACTACAAAGCTAAAATGGGAAACACATTTCAGCCGCTTGTAACTCTGATATCTTCCTTTTGGTCATTATGAACCTTATGCTGCTAAAATGTACAGATGTAAACATACAAGCTACATATTGCTTGGACTAGAATACATAGTACTTTATACTTACTTCTTATGCCAAATGTAGAGATTTTATATTTCTTTATTAAAGATAATGTCTATCTTTAACATTTATACTTGTTTCTTTGAGGCAGGTAGAGGTGTTATTTTATTTGAATTAAAATAGTTATGTTCATCTATTTTGTGCTGTGTGCTCTTCATTCCCACTGTTCTGTGGCTGGTGATGCAACACTGAAATTTCCCCACTGTGGGACGCATAAAGAATTTCTTAATCTTAATCACCCAAAACTAGATCTTTGCCCCTGCTCTCTTTTCGCCACAACGGTCCGATACAACGACCGCGCCACTGCACACGCTGCACCGATCCGCCTCTCAAGCCATCCTTCCCTCAAACCGATTGGGATAAAATAAAAATAATAAAAATGCATTGGTTATACTGCATATTGAACACAGGACCTTCTGGCCAATGCTTTTCCAACTGAGCTACTGTCGCCTCATAGATTCTCGTGATTTTGTTGCATTTGCAGAGCGTTTCTGACCCCGTGTGTCCAAATCGAGTAACAACAGCACATACCCCGACCGTAAAGAACTATAGATCTATGACATAACTCTGACATGTCTCTGACCCCGCCCACCACCCATCAAACTCAGGATCTCTACAACCTGATCACACGCGCAGGACCCCGAAGGTACACCTGGTCTGATGTTTTTGTAATTTCGACATTTTCATTATGTGTTATTTCATTATATTTTGTGCATTCTTTGTTTTCTGAGTTTCACCTTCCTGTTTCATGCAACATATTCAGACCACTTCTTCAATTCGAAAGCTGTTCAGTTTAAATGTTAAATTGTTTAACTATGGAAGGTGTATTATTTGTTTTGACCTTTGAAGATAAGAGACTGTTGTAATAAGTGTTGTCATTATGTTTGTGACTTTGAAATGGCTCAAACTGTTGCATATACACAGCACTTAATGTGTTATGACTGCTTTGTTTTCTACAGATGTGGAAATCAGTTGTTGGGCACAATCTGCACGCACAGGACGCGACAGGCGCAGCAGATGACTGGGAGACAGACCCTGACTTTGAGGTACCTGCATTTCTATTATAGCTTTGCCTGAACATTGATAATTTGTTCAAATGTTGCAGAATGACATCACAGAGCAGGAGCAAAGATGGGGAGCAAAGACCATTGAAGGCTCGGGCCGTAAGGAGCATATAAGGTAATCCCTATGATTGATTGATTGATTGATTATATATATACACAATTCTAATAAGATAATACATTAATGTATTTATACACTATTATCTGTCACAAAATAAATGCTCAGCCACAGGAAGAGGAAGTGTAGAGCAGAAGTCTGAAGTGTTTCCTTATAAGGAAACTACACAAACAGTCATGTCTGAGTTCAACTTTTACACACACTACTGTTTGTACATGCCTGGTCTGTCACAAACTATATCCCGGCTTTTCTTACGCCCTTACTGCCAAAACAAAAATGTAAAATTAAAAGAAAAATAATGTGGGAGTCCCAAACGTATCTATTTTTTGAGAGCTCATTTCATTAGCCTGGTCGTACCACCCCATCGTACAAGTTACATTTCATACTAAGTAAATGCAGGGAAATGAGAATTGAGCGGAGTTTACGGATGGCTAAGGCCAGGCTAACATTTCATCAGAGCCTGTGGGAATTTGTTTTGAATAACGCATCAATTTTGTGTGCTTTTTTGCCAGAATATTTCAGCTTTTTTCTTAAAATTCTTTTTTGCTTTATTTGTGGTTCTTTTGAAAACAAGTTAGCTGTATCACCTTGTTAACATGTTTCAGCTGATAAGGTTGGCTTTTTTTATTTCAGCAAATCAAAGAGCCAACCCAATAATATCTTTTTAGCTTGGATAATTGGGATGAAATAAGTGTTTTGATTAGGCATGCTTCACATCAGGAGGTGGATGTCGATGTTGTAATAACGCCTTGTTTTGTAGCGTTGCCGATCTCAGACAGAAAGTGGTGGTGGAGCATGAGCGCGTGAAGCAAAAAGAAAACACTCCCAAAGCGTCCTACGGTTATGGAGGCAGGTTTGGGGTGGAAAAGGACCGCATGGACAGGGTTTGTGAAACTATTTTCTGGTATCTACCGGCTGTCGTCTCATTTACTGATTATTCTTATTCATCAAAGGCGGCACTGGGGCATGACTATGTGGCAAAGGTGGAGCAGCATTCTTCACAGAAAGATGCATCGCAGGGATTTGGAGGGAAATTTGGTGTTCAGGCCGACAGAGTAGATGAGGTGAGAATACTATTAATTCTCATTCATTCATAAAAATAAATAATGTTTAATTTTTACTGTAGTCAGCTTTGGGTTTCGAATACAAAGGAGAAGTGCAACAGCATGCGTCCCAGAAAGGTTTGAATTTGCTTGTGTACCAAATATGTATTTTATAAGTCACTTGAAATGACCATGTGTGTATAGATTATTCAAAGGGTTTCGGGGGAAAATACGGAGTAGAGAAAGACAAAGTGGATAAAGCTGCTCTGGGATATGACTACAAAGGAGAGACGGAGAAACATCAGTCACAGAAAGGTGCAGAGATATTTCTTTCAACGGTTGATGCCTGTGAGCGGATAAAATGCATGTCTTCTTCTAACGGCAGATTATGCTAAAGGCTTTGGAGGAAAGTTTGGTGTAGAAAAAGATAAAGTGGACAAGGTTGCCCTGGGATACGACTACAAAGGAGACACAGAGAAGCATCAGTCGCAAAAGGGTCAGTAGGAAAACTGGTACAAATCGGAATTTTATTGACTGTTATGTTTCCCCCCAGATTATTCAAAGGGTTTCGGAGGCAAATTTGGAATTGAGAAGGAAAAGACTGACAAATCAGCCTTGGGTTTTGATTACAAGGCTGAAACGGAAAAGCATCAATCCCAAAAAGGAAAGGGCCAAACGACTGAGTTTTTAGAGGCCACAGGGACGTAAGACTAATTGATGCATGCATTTCACGTTTACAGATTATTCAGCAGGATTTGGAGGCCAGTATGGAGTACAAACAGACCGCATGGATAAAGTCAGCATTTTTAACACAATTTATTCAGTTTGTTAAATTAAGCTAATCATGTGTGATGTATTTCAGAGCGCAACAGGCTACTCGGATATTGAAACTCCAACTTCTGCTTATGAGAAGACTGTGCCTCTGGAAACATGTAAATGCACTTACAGTAGTACTTACAGGACTATGAGCATGACTGTAAAACGCACTAGCTAAATTAAAACACATCCTTCCACATGCTTCAAAACAGATATGATAACTTGACCATTTTTGAGGTTTAGGGGCGTTTCCACACAGTATTTTGAAAATTGGAAAAATCATTTTCAGACGCAATTGCAATGATCAAAATCACGGCATATCTAAATATAAGCTGCATGTTTTTATTTTTCTATGCAACAGCGCTGATGGATTACTAAGCAGGACAAATTATGTTGACGCACTGTTGACTCATGATCAAAGCACTCTGTTATCAAAGTCAGAAAAATATATCTCTTAACTCTACTCTACTCTACAATGGCACTAATCCCATATAAAAAAAAGGTCTGCATTTCACGGAACTTTCTTGTATAGTCTCTCTGCTGTTCACATAAACACACTGGGAAGCAGGAATTTGTGCGACATCATCAACTCTGGAGATCCCAGATCCCTTTCTGCATCCTGGGGGAAGCTCAACAACGCATGCATGTATACAACAAAATAAAAACGCATACATTGGCTGCATTGCTAAATAGGCCCGAGATAAAAGAACTTTTAAAAAGTAGCTTTATAGTCAAGCAAGTATTAGAGTACTATGGTCTGTATAAGATTATATGTGTATATTAACTGAATATATGTCTGTACTTCAGCAAGTGTTGGTGCTGGGAAGCTCAAGGCACGTTTCGAGAGTATGGCCAAAGCGTCTGAAGAAGAAAACAAAAACAAAGTAGAGGGAGAACGAATGAGGAGACAAGCCAGAGAAGCCAGAGAGAGGGAGGAGGCCCAAAACAGGCCACCAGTAACCCCCCTGGACACTGTCGTTAAGTGATGACTGCTATAAGTTATTAAAGCTGGAGTACCTAACTTTTAACTCACACAAAAAGTGAAATATAGGACCACCAGCACTCTCATTCTAATAAGATAGAAGGCATGTTGCCGTCTGATTTGTTCATACAGCAATCTTACTTAGAAATAAAACCTGTCATAAAGTTAACTACTCCAGCTGGTCTCAACCAGTCCATAGACAACCAAATCTAAATGCACAACTGTTGATCTTGCTTTTTACAGGAAATGACCAGAGAAGAAAAATCTCTTCCTGCAAAATCCCCAGCTGACTGTGCCAAAGCAGACTACGACGACCACAGTACCCACATTACAGATATAAAGGAAGAACCGGAGGTAAAAAAAAAAAAGTTACGGAATAAATCGGAATAGTTTCAAAGACACAATCTGGTTTGAGTGCAGGAAGAGGTACTTTATGAAGAGCCTCCAGCACTGCCGCCTCGTGAAGATTTCCTAGATGCAGATGCTGCTCCACTTTCTCAGAGGTCGGCAGAAGTGGACGACTTAGATGAGGATGATGGGGAATATGAAGAATTCAGTCTGTGTAATCTGTATTCATTGCATACTAATCTGCATGCCATCTCAGAGGATGACGGAGATTACGAAGACCTGACGTATGGCCTGAAGGCAAAAGCCATTTATGATTATCAAGGAGGTACAGCTCTCTTTAATCTCCAGTGATTCTTTTGTGTAAATTCTCACAGCGCTTTATCTATAAATACAGAAGCTGATGATGAAATATCCTTCAACCCTGACGACATCATCACAAACGTGGAGCAGGTTGATGAGGGCTGGTGGAAAGGGCTTTGCCATGGGCGCGTTGGTCTGTTTCCAGCCGCTTATGTGGAGTTAATGCAGTGATGGCCTCTTACAATTAATAACTTCATATGTTCAAATGACAATAATAATGCAAGTACTATGAACTGGAATGCATTCAACAATTTAGCATTTATTGAATAAAGTCATGTTCCCAAAGAGCCCCCACCATTTCATCAATTCTCTTAAGGCTCACAATAAGAAGAATCCAGTCGGTTCAAAATGGGTTAACGTGCAAACAAAGAACTTAACCCAGACCCGATTAAGTCTCCCGTTTTGAAAGCAAAGGTCATGAGTAAAAAAACAATACCTTTCAAAGTCCAAGGAGTCTAACATTTATAAAACAATATGCAGTCTCTGTTTTGTAATGTTACCAAGCAATGCCTTTCTTCTTTTTGCCAGAGGCGCCTTTCTTGGCCACTCGTTTGCCTTTTATTTTCTTGGCCTGCCGTTGACTCATCCATGCAGGGTATTGACCATGTTCATTAAGCATAGTTTTCTTATTGCGCTTGCTGTCCATGTCCATCTTCTCACCTGAACAAAACGTGCATAAGTGACATTTATCAACACTAAAGATTTTGTATGATCTCTTACCATCTCCTGTTTCCTCTGCCATATCTACATCAGTGTTTTTCTTGACTTTGTCGGCTGGAACCAAAGTGGCGATCTCCTGAATGTCTGACATCACAGCCTCCCCTTTCAGGTCTGTGCCCAGAGCCTGTTTGAGACGAGCCAATTCTTTCGGGGCATTTTTCTTCCTCTTCTCTGCCCGCATCTTTCGCCTCCATTTGCTGCGGAGGCTTTTGGCCATGTCGACGTCCTCCAAGAAAAGAACAATAATACAATGTAATTAAAGCAAAACTATAAGACGTTTACAGAATAACAACAGTTAGCATGGATGCTAGTTAGCTAAAATGATATTTTAACAAAACAATCCGCGATAACGAAGCTAAAAACACAGCCCTAGATGATGAACCCTCAGGACTACAGGTCACACATGTTCCAGCCACAGTGTTGTATAAAGGACAACATACTTTTACTGTAAAAGTTCTGCGGAGGCTCTGCACGTGTTTACAACTGAGCAGACTACGTCTCAGTGACGCGTCAATAACGTGGAGAGTGATTGGGTAAAATACGTGAACCAGAAACACGATTTGTGATTGGAGTGGACTTTCCGTTCCAGGAAGTGGGAGAAGGATGTAAACACTTGCGCATGTACTGCAAGATTATGGATCTATAAGCAGGATTTATTATAAAAAGCTGGATCTATTTGTCTGTGTATAATAATATGTCACTTAATGACAATATAACATCAGGAGCAGCTCGAAGAATCTGCTGTGAGTCTGTGACAGGGCTGCATGTGTTAGAGTCCGCTGCACAGCACTTTATTTTGCACAAGGATTTTGAGACTGTTTTTGAAACTTGTGATGGAGCTCTGCAAAATATAACCAAAGGTGACCAAGAGGATGAAAGGTAATTCCTGAACTTTGATGTTTGTTAAACGATGTATGTCCGTGTAAAATCCTGTTATCATGTATTTTCTTCTTAGGTCTGAAGATGTTAAGACTGGCTTTTGCATCTTGGGGATACAAGCACTGGCTGAACTAAATGAGTGGTGTCGGGTTCTGCCTTGGGTTCTCCAACAGTATGAAAGCCAGGAGAAAATACCAGCAAAAATAATACAAATGTGGTACAGAAACACTGTATTGCTTCTTAACACTCCTAGATACTTGGCTTAAGTGTTTCTTTGATAATGTTTCAAATTAAAAACAATAGCATGGTTTATATTTCATGAATTCATGGATGTTAAATGAATGTTGATTCATTACACATTAAAAGCACTATTTAAATTGCCTTTGTTTTTCAGTATACTACTCTATTCCAAAGTTGGAGAGGCAGTTGTGGTGTCTGACGTTGTCCATGTGTGGCTGCATTGTGGGGCCAATGGCAGGGCATCAGGCTTCGCAACAGTCATGGAGCTGTACCTGGCACACATTCTCTTACCCCTTGGACAACTGGAAGAGGCACGAGAGCTGATTCTGGGAGAAGTGGGGATAAGCACACTATCAGAGGAGCAAAGACAGATGGCCCTCATCATTATAGATGAAAAACACAATGATCATACTTCACTTATTCCCTCAGCCTCATTCGTTGCGTGTCCGCTTACGAGCAAGCCTCAAGGTGAACATTGGCAAATAGAATATCACTAATTTCCCTCTTATGTTTATAATGCGTTTGTTTTATAGGAACGATGCTCTTCAAACTTGGGGCAATTATTAAATATTTGTACAAAAAGTTGCTTGGCCCATTATCTGGCAGTTCTCATCTCCCCCAAGGCTTACTGGTGGTTGTGCTTCTGTACATGCTTTTACTTCGATTGGACCCAGGTCAGATTATGTTATTTGTGTATAGTTTTAAAATAATAACATAATATGCATATTGTGTGTTTTTCTTTCAGCGCTTCCATCATCGTTTATATGGATTACAAAACTTCATCAGATGATCAGACAGTTGTGGACTGCTTTGTTTGGACCCCATTATCATGCTATGAAAAAATAATTTGTACCAAAAAATATTTTTTGTGATATTTTGTGAAATTTTAATTTAATCTAAATAAGCAACTGATAACCGATAGTATGTCCCTACTGAGTTATCTAAAATGTCAAATACTACAAAAATGGTTACAGCACAAGGAGACATGACTTAGGATTTCTGTAGGGTTTGTAAACTTTATACTGTTTCATCCCCAGAGGAAATTACTGTCCACATACACAGAGCTCGTTGAGCATATATGGGTGTATACAGATAACACAAGACGTTAAACATTGTTGTGCTGTCTCAGTCAGGCCTGTTGTTGAGGAATGTAATGGTTGACGGATCCTGAACCTTCTGCACCTGTGCGAGGCGTGATATGTTCATGTTGAGGGTGTGTGGAGTCCTGAATAATAATACATTTTAAAAAGGCTGTCCTTCTGCTTGTTATTGTGGCTGTCATTCAATCATGTAACTCATTAGTCCATTCAATGTATAGATAAAATACACACACCTTTATCAAGGTACAAAGACTTGGCCACATTATGACAATTACAATCAACATTATGAATACTTTTGTACAATTGGAATGTTACAGTTCTTTTTTCTTCTTTTTTTCCTAACTATATTTCATGTCTCCACTGTGCTTATTGACCTTTTGCCTAAGACCAGTATAGGGAGTGACAATAATTACAAATGTAAGTAAAACATTCCGTGTAACTCATTGCAATATTGACAATTGAGAATACATTATTGGTTACAATCATGGTAACCCCAGTTTATAATTAATTTGATTAAGAGATAATAACTATAGTCCCTTTTACTTTGTATTTCATTTGAATAATGTATCATACAATTTTGGAGTGACTTGCCTCCCAAAACCATTAATAAAATTACATGAATTTATTTTTTATTCAATTTACAAATAATGGAAACATTTTCATTCCAAAATGAGTTGCCATCTATTATTGTATTAGGTCCATAATACTTTTTCAAGTGAAGTTTCGATTCCCGAGAATTAGCTCTTAAAACGAAAGTGAAAGTATAATCTTGTGAAGCACAGACTGTGGCGTATTAGTCCACAGCAGCTGAGATGTCGGGGAGGTTATGGCTTTGGGGGTATTCACGGATTTCTTCAGGTGAGTCTGACAATCTTAATGTTTAGAGTATGGAATGCAGATTACTAAACACTTTAGATATGAACATACGCTTGTTCTTGTTATGTGCGATGAAGCTGAACATCGCAATAAATACTTGAATATAATAAATGATGTGAATAAAATTGGTATTTAATGAACCTGTCATTACTGTTGTCTTTAAGGGATACGAGGTCTCTCAAACATCTGTCTGTGCTGTTGTGTGAACACTTTACTGCAGACCCTCTCCGCCACTTATGAACTTGTGGAGTCGCTCGGCCGGTGAGTGGAGCTGTATCACTGCCAACAGCATTCAGCAGAGGCTGTGGGAGTTAGGTGGGAGATAAAAAGGGATACAATGATGTAATGTGATTAAAGCTAGGATATCTAACTTTTTTTGGCTGGGTGATGGTTGGTACTTTGACAGCCTGAAGTGACAGCTAGAGGCCAAAGATCAGATTCATTGTATTTGCCAATTGCAGGAAAACCACATTGAAATACATTATCAAAAGACCCCCATGGGCACCAGACAAGTAAATATATAAAACAAGGAAAAACGTACTGGAATAAAACAAGCTAAAACAGAGCAGGAAACAATTATCAATGAAATCGCATAAACTAGAGATGAAACCAGAGATATTTGAAAGCCAAGACCTTTACTGTAGTTAAATAGACTGTGTTACATAGTACATTTTTGGTGGTTTCAGAGTCTTTGATTGGTCATGTTGTGTCATGTAATGTATTTCCTCACTTGTGATAGATGGGATGTTACTCACTTGAGACCAGATGAGGACCGCAATGTCCCATTTGAATTAAAAAAGTTCTTTGCTGCTGAGTCGGCCTCACATAAAGCCTTCCTGCACTGTCTTCACAGAAACGGTGTTCAACGTAAGATCCAGATTTTCAGTATAATGACTGTTTATGTCCCAATCATTGATGACTATTTCATGACTATACAGTTCACACTCAGCATGATGCAGATGAAGTTTTCCTGGTCATCCTCAACTTAATTAAAAACCAAATGGATGACAAAAATCTGGTGAGTAAGTTTACACAGACTTTTATTTCTGACTAACAGACTAATGCAATTTATACATTTTATTGCAGGCAGAAGAGATCCAGAATTTGTACAAAATATCATTGGAGAGCCATGTCCAGTGTCTGAGGTGTGATTCAGTCCAAACAAAACAAAGCTACCTGCTCAGCCTGCCTCTGCATGTGGAGGAAGCCCACACATCACTGGTACAATCATATTCTTATTCTAATTGCAGCTTTAAAAAACTAATTATTTCCTATTGTCTCAGGAGCAGTCATTAGCCTTATTTTTTCAGGAACATGAACTCAAAGGCATAAACTGCTGCTTTTGTGTTCAATGTACAGACAAGACACCTTCAAAGCAAGTAAGTAGAAAGGCAATTGCACAATACAATAGAATTACAAGAGAGACATTCATACATTATTCACAGGGCGTCCAGCTGCTCTCCTTGCCACCAATCATGTGCATCCAGCTCAAGCGATACCGTAATAATGCCGGGTTTACACAGAAGCTTGATAATGAGGTGACTTTTCCTGAAACGATTGACTTTTCAAAAGCAGTACCTCAAGCTTTCTCCAACAACTTCAGCCAGGTACTGCTGTTTTGTTCTGTATATCTGGAACACATGTTTTTATCTATATTGTTGAATCTTTATAACCTCCTACATTAACCTTATCCAGACAGGCTGCCTGTATAATCTATATGCAGTAGTGGTGCATTCAGGGTCAGCAGGATGTGGGCACTACACAGCTTATGTTCGTCACAAAGAGAGCCAGGGCTGGTTCTATGCTGATGACAGCCACACTCACCAGGTGACCTTAAATTTTTATATGTCTCACAGGATTTAGTTTATTTTTCCTCATTTAATCCTGAGAATTGTTTAACTCCTTAACAGGTGTCCTGGGAAAAAGTACAGTCGTCTTACGGAGGGAAACACAGGTGATTCAAGCTCACAGATGTATCATTCAAATGTTTACACAGTGATCAGGTGCGCGAGACTAAAGAGGCGTTAGCGTTAGCTTGCTCTATTCTAATAATAACGATGATAATAAGGCATTGGTTTAATATGTTGCACTTTTTTGGAGGCTCAAAGACGCTTCACATGTCATTATTCATTCACTCCATACACAGTGGTGATAAACTACTACTGTAGTCAACTGAAGCGAGCCATTGGCCTCTCTGACCACCACCAACCATTCACGCACACACTAGACTCATTCTAGGCAATGTGGGTAAAGTGTCTTGCCTAAGGACACAACAACAGTTTGGCACTTTACAACCACAGCCGCCCCACTGTGGCACCTGCCGTTCCCAGAGCTTAGCCTCAGAAGTCTGGAGAGGTTTGTCCAATGAGGAAACAAGGCGGGTCTAATCCATACTCACACTTGAACATTCTTAGCTCATAAAAGTTTTTAGACCTGTTTAACTCGTGTGAACAATAATTAGATATTAGTCTAATTATTGTCTGTGACGTTAGGCTTGAACCATTGGCCTTTGTGTTTGTGTTTATGTTTGTTTGATTTATTTAGAGCGACTGAAATATATAGTAGGTATACTTCCTGAGGTCTATATACTCATCATTGTCACAAAAATGAATGTACAATGGATAAAAATTAACAAACGTCTGATCAAATCTCTTAACAATGCGGAAGGCAGCTGTCATGTCTTCAGTAATGGGCTATATTCAGATTCAGATTCAGATTCATTTATTTGCCATTTGCAGTAAAACCACATTGGAAAAACTGTGCAAGACTACCCCAGTGTGCACCAGACGACACACACCAGAGCTCTTGCACGGGGAGGCGTGATGTCATTTCCTGTTAACAAAGCACAGCCCTTTCACTTCCTGCCTATGCTATTCTATGGCTTTTAGGTGGGTTTTAGTGACGTTTTTTAGTAATTAGATTGATACATTCAGCTGTGAGACTGACCCAAAAGTGTCACTGTGCTTTCTCTCTGAGGTAGAGCTTTGACTGTGGCCACTCAGAGAGATTTGTAAACTTTATAAAAACACAATGACAGCACAATCGAAGAGCACTGCTGTGTCCCAAAAATGCCCAGTATCCTCACAGTTTAATTCCCATTTGAGCATAATTTGGGAAACTCGTGTAAACCACTGCTGAACTCCAGTGAAACTCAAGACATTTCCCGCAAACAGTAAGTGAAGTGGGGTAGTAGCTAAAACGCGGAAGTGGTGCGTGCATAGAGCCCATTAGCAGAACATTTACTTGTCGCTCATCTGAACCTGCTGAAACTGGCCTGCACTTAGATAGATAATCTAACATTTGACTCATACAGCGTTTTCTTTTTAAAAATTAAAATAAACATGTATCAGGGACTCTGGTCTTACCAAGAAGAATCCCTCATTCATTTTGAATGCTCCTGCTTCTTATTAGTTTGGGATTCTGTTCCATAGTCGTATTTTCTTTTATCTCATTTCCCCCAAAAACCCTTTTTCATATTGTTTGTATCCTCTGACTCACTACTTTTATTTCTGCAGGCAAACGGCGTACATGCTAATGTACAGAAAAGCATGAGAAGACAAAACACAACAACATAGGATTAAAGCAGAACAGAAGGACAAACTCATAGGAAAAGTACTCATGTATGAAATGAAATAGTTTGACTTTGACACTAAATTACATTTACGATGATAAACCAGCAGGTGGTGGTGAAGCCTCGGATGATGCTCTCAGACCACACACTGATAATCTGATCATTAACCTGGGGACTGCTTAGATGCTCAATATTCAGTGTGGAGGGAAGTACTTGAAATACAACCTGATGTCGTATTTTCTGGAATCCATAACATATATATGACCACAAATTATTACATGAACTGTATTTTAAGTTAATACTGTGTTTTGTATTTACCTATACATGCAAAACCAATTGTGTATTACACACAAGTCTTTAAAGACTCTGGTATGTTATTGCTTTTCCTGGATGGCCCAGAGGCAATAGGCTTCCATCCACCTTTGTTTTATGTGTGGGTTTTATCATTAAAAATATCTTGGAAACAGATTTCTATTCATCATACTCATAATAATGATCAATGTTGTTCTTATTTAGTATTTTTGCACTTAACTTAAAAGTGAATTCATCCTCTATTCTAGCTCATGGCACATTTATTAACAAAAGATGTGTAAAATGTTGCACCTATCACCATTCTCCAATCTATCTCTAAAAAAAAAAATCTGTAAACTCAGATAAAAGAATTTCAAAAAATCGCAATACACCAATATAATATAAACATGTCTTTGGCATCCTTCCTATCCAAGTCTTCATGCTCTCTATATCCATAGGTCATGCTTCCAAAATTAGACCAGGTTTAGATTCAAGATTACATATAAAAAGGATGCTGACAACTTTTCATTTCGTTATTCAGCAATTCTGTATTTTATAACCCAATTAAAAAACCCTGGGAGGGTCACGTCCGGGACATTTTACCGGCTATGGAGATGTAGCCTCTGCAGTTCCCACTGCTCCGAGTTGGGGACCGTGTGAACGTGCCGCTGTGAGGTCTGCAGAATGGAACATGCCTGCACACTGCCAGCGGCGCGGGGCCTCTGCTTAGTCATCTCACTGAGGAGCTGCAGTACGGTATAGAAACTTGAAGTGCATCAGGGCAGGTTTCCCTTTTTGCATAATGACTGTGCCGCTGTTGAACCTGATGGCAAATATCACAATGTCCAATTGACATTTACTTTACAAACCCTCAATAATACTTCAGTTATAGCTGTTTTCACATTAAAGGAAGTGTTTTCATTCCTTTTTGATGTGTTCAAACACAGTGAGAACTAGGGATTAACACCAGACTTTTGGGACTTAGTCAGACAAGAACCTTTTGGTAAAAAAGGTGGAGGGGAATAAAAATCCTCACCGTTCCTAATATCACTTCTTTTTGCTTGATTATGTTTATGTATCATCCCTCGCTCAGCGCAGTACCACACGCTAAAACTTTGTTACAGTCGTGGAATTAGTTTGTGCAGTGGTTTCTAACCCTTTCTGTCTGAAGTACTTTCTGAACTGTTAGGATGTCGTGCCTCACAGCAACAAGGTCACGTTCTATCCCTGCGTCGGCCGGAGCCTTTCTGTGGAATTTGCATGTTTGCCTCTGTGTCTGGGTGGGTTTCCTCCGGGTGCTCCTGTTTCTCACACCACCCTTACCGAGCAGTAAAAATCTTCCAGTGAAGGTCGATCAAGCTGAGCGTCAACATGTGTCTAAGGAGCACGGGTCAAATGCGAATGTGAAAAACTTAAAGCAAACAAAAGTGTGTGGAGTTGTTTTTACGCACAGCGCTCTCCATTTTCCTAGAGGATCTGCAGTAGAAGGAATGGAGCTGTGCCTCTTGGCGGAGGTCTGCACTCTACTTGTTTCTTTTCTATTTGTAACCTGTCCCACCTCTAAACTATTTATTTCCCATAACCCTCTGACAGCGGATCAGTGCATTGTTAAACACAGTCCATGTAAACTTCTCTGGGCTTTGTGCAGTGGGCAGAACAGAATTTTCTTTGGACACGTTTAGAAGACGCATGAAAGCGTCTTTGTTTATGTGTGCTTAGTAGTTACTAGGTGATCACACTGCTGTAATGCATCGAATTTGAGAAGCGCTCTTTAATGTTCCCTTTTCATGTGGAGGCTTTTACTGTCTTATCATCAATTGTCTGACCTGAATCTTTTATGAGACAAAGAAACAGACAGGCTTCAGCATCTATTACATCTGTTGCAGATCAATCTTAATGTATGATCCTCCACCTGCCCTTCCATAGAGATAGATTGACCCCAATGATTCCTAAGTTTTAGTCAATATTCTTGTTCAAATCAGGTCCATTTACAGCTTTCAGACAGAATTCTGCACTTTGGGACTTGCTTGCACCTGGACCATCTAACTAACCTTGTTGAATGACATCATATTTGTGCATTTATAGACATTTATGCACATTGGTCATCCCGCTACCCTATGCTCAGCAGAATTTTGATAAAAAAGGAACACATTCCAAGGGCATTCCCAGGAGCCCCGAAGAAGCGGATACAGTAGTTCCTGTAAAGCCAACAGGTGTATGGGAAACATGTGATTTATTTATACATACACTGCGTGAGTCATCTTTACTGTTTGCTCTTTTGGATTGATCAGGTTTTGAGTGTTGGGAGTCCTATCTCACCCCAGGAGCCATAAAGAGGTTTGTGTGTGTACCACAACTGGCCTGGACGGTCTGCATCACGTGTTCATTTCTCTTCTGCCAGATTCTTGGCTCTCGGAGTACAATAAATGCAACATCTGCTAAGTTTTCGAGGAAAGAGATATTGAAGAGTTGAGCCACATTAACAGCAAAGAAAGTGAGTGGTTAGATCTGGTCTGGATCTCATCCAGTGTCTTGATTTTCTTTGATATGGTCAACTCTAAATGGCAAGCAACACTGCTACTTAGTGGTTAATGGGGCCGTTTGGTTTTGGGTTATTTCTATTTCTAAAGGCCTCTGTCGTTGGGAGCAGGTTGTTCTGCATTGAAGAAAAGTTAAATCTCTTTTTCTGACCCCAGGAGGTCAAAGGCCACCCCTGTCTAACAGCGCTGTCGTCAGCCATCGGTTTACACTTCTCGCTTGTCTTGCATCACTGAGATGTGGGGAGGTTTCTGTCTCCTTCATGTTCCTGTGTTTTTGTGTGAGCGAGAGAGTTTCACCTTAGGCATTACACATACATTACATGTACATTCCAGCCACAGGGAAAATGTATAATATTGAATGCATTCTTTGTTAAATAGTCCTGATATTCATTCATTCTGTTGCATGCGTGTATTCATATCTGTGAACCCTCATTTGGGAAGTTGAGAACAGTAAGGTTGATTCACTTTTTTAACCCTTTATGATAACGTTGTTTGTTATATTTATTTTGTTGGACAGATGTGCAGTACAGAGGTTGGGATCTCGCCTCATAGTGTGAATGAAAACTGTCACAGTCAAATGATTTGTTGAGTTTTAAAAAAAACGTAATAAAATACTGAGTTATCATAAATCTCTCAAATTATGTTGCTTCATCATACAAATGAAATCTTCCTGAGTCACTTCAGAACAAGAATGAACGGAATGGCCCCTTTAGGCAAATCGTTAGGCAGGCCTCAAACCTGTGATAAGACTTCTTGTCAATAATATAATTAATGAAAAGCCAGCCCGGAAAGAGCCCGGACTATATAGTTGTAATCAAAATGACAGACAACAATGTGAACAAAATTACTTATTTATCTATATTATTTCTGTATTGTAATATGTATTTGTGACACTATTGTGCTTTTTGCAACTTATTATTTATTGTTATTATTATTGCAGAGTGAAAACTTCTGCATCTAACTTATAAATACTCAAGACTGTAATCACATCAAACCATATGTTACACCTTGATTTAGGCAGCACGGTTTCTCACAGCAATTTTGTCTCTCCGGGTGCTCCGGTTTCCCCTACCGCTAAAAATATGTAAAATAGGTCTGCCATGCGCCTCCTGGAGTGAGAGACAATTGCCCGCAATTGTAAAGTGCTTTCTGATTCTGGTCTGTGAAATACACTATATAAATAAAGATTACTTACCTACTAACTTACTACTAATTTAATCAGATAATTTTGATATATTCTATAGTTTCAACATGGTGGAACGTTGAAACTATCCTCTATTCAAGTTCAATCGCAAAATTATTTACCTGTTTAACTGAATATTTAAATTATAATGATTGTGTTAAGTAATTGTTGGCACTACAGTCGCTCCACACAAACTGCTCCAGCTGCACACAGTGTGGCATTCTTCGCCTCTCCTTGGTGCCATGTTAAAACTTGACCTGAGCTGCGGTGAGTTGAGAGGGGGCTATCCTTTGTCAAACCTCGCTGACCTGCTCTATGCTGCAGACTCTCTTATTTCCGCACAAAGACACTCTAATGCAGGTAGCCGCTGCTGGCATTCTTGGTGCATTCCTCCATGGGGAAGTTGCCGGGATCAGGATGAAAAATGCCCAAAACAAAGACCCACTCTCATTCACAGGGTTTAGGGTTCTGTGGGAAAGTCCTGGCCACACTGAGGCTGGTCGGTGCAGGAATGTGCAGAAGGGTATAGCTCACACAGGCTCCATGACACAAGGAGACACCATACAGGGGTCTTCTTACTCTGCACGGCAGAAGGAGGAAGCTATGAGATGCCTGATAGCTGTTAAGTGACTGCTTATTAGCTCCAACCAAAACTTCAAACTAATAACAACTAATGCATTTGTTTTATATAGTGCTGTTCACGACACTCAAAGACGCTTCACATGTCATTATTAATAATAGTAATAATAATTATAATAATAAAGCTTCGGTTTTATATAGCGCTTTTTTGGACAGACGCTTTACATGTCATCATTTATTCACTCCATACACGGTGGTGATAAGCTACTACTGTAGCCACAGCTGCCCTGGGGCACACTGACAGAAGCGAGGCAACCAGTATGTGCCATCAACCCCTCCGACCACCACCAACCATTCACACACACACACCAGACTCACTCTCGGCAAT